TGCTGTAGTTGGCTTCCTTCCATCCTGGATGGAGATGGCCAGATGTTGGCATTGTTGGACTCTTATGGGAGGTGCCAGGTCAGCTTTTTCTGCCTGTGGCCTGGCTCTGGGGGCTCTCTCTGGCAGCAGTCATGCTGGGCTCTGGGTGGTTAGGGCATCTGGTTGCCAACCGTGTCTGTAATATATTGTTTATCAGTTAGGCAAGGCTCTGGCAACTTTGGTAGCGGTGAGGTGGGCTTCAGGCCCCAGGGCTGTTATCATGGTCCTTGGACTGGGTGCAGCTGGTTAAGCTCAGTGTAGCTGGGACCATAGGATCAATAGGTCTGGTCACTATTAGCTACCTACATATACAGACAGGGCTTGGAGATGGGAGTACAAGGCCTGCGAGACAGTTCAGGCAGGCAGGAAATGGGGCTCGGGTAGGCCGGCCATGCCCTGCAGTTGGGGTGGAACGACCTGGGTAGGCTGGGTTGGGGGAGAAGGTCCAGGGTAGGATAGGGCTCCCTGGAGGAGGGATGGTGAAATAGGCCAGCGCTGTCACTGGATGATACCTGGGTTCCCCAGACCAGGGTTGGGGCTGAGCCTATGGTTGGGTGAGATCCTAGCCCCCGAATTCACAGTCTGTTGGGAGAAGTTCTGTTTCTCCTGGGGCCACCCCTGGGAACTGGATGTTCTATTGACAAACCAAAGGGAATGAAAATCCCATTGCAAACAGGCTCCATTTACTCAGGGTGTTCAGAAAACACTGCGGGTGGCTGCAGGTGCAGCGGGCCCAGGGTGCCATTCCCTGTCTGGAGTGAGAACTTCTAGTCTGGTGTGTGATGCTTGTGGTACTCCCATGCACACGCACATGCACACACATGCACCCATGTGCATAATCCCCCGGCATACTGTGGACACACACCTCCTCTTAGACACATGTCTGCTGCTGAATGTACTGCTTAGCTCCGCCCATAGGCACCATCCATCCACACTGGACCTCGCAGCACCTGCCTGGGAGACCCTTGCTTTTGGACACCCAGGCAGGGCACACCTCTCCCCCAGAAGACCTCTCCCAGTCCTGGGGTCATTCTTCCTCACAAGCATATTCACAAGTGCAGAGGAATGGCAGTGGACCATGGTCTCATTGCACAGGTGAGGAAGCTGGGATTCAGAGAGGGCAAGTCATGTGCCCCAAGTCACAAAGGGATTTAGGGGCATAGTAGGGATAGTATCCCGGTCTCCTGCCTCCGAGGTGATTACTCTGTACCAGCTGTCCTGTCAATCCCACAAGCCAGGCACACGCCCCTGTGTGGAAGCATGAACATGGAGGTGTGGAGATCCTCGCGCTTGGAGGCCCCCCTCCCATACTCCTCCCTGACAGCACCCAGTCCAGAGCTGAGCCGGATGCGGGTAAGCCATCCCCTTGCCTTCCCAAATTGTGGTTGACGGTTGCTCAGGCAACCGCCCGCCAGATTGGGGAGATTAGCTGAGGAATGTGGCTGGGCCAGTTTGCACCGAGGTTGGGGGAGCTGAGGGGTCCTGGGTTGCTCCAGCCCACCCTTTCAGGGAGGCCTCCTTAGAGATGGGTGTCCTAGGAGAGGCCTTGGTGTGCCTAACTTATACTGTGTCCCCAAGTCTTAGACCAGGCTGGGGAAAGGGAGTGTGTATGAACGTTCTAGTGTGCGGCTGTGTGGGCGTGCATGTGTTCGTGCAGGGGTGTTGCGCATCTCTCTGAGTGTGATTGGAGTGTGTGCTGATTGCATCCAGAGGGGCCCTTTCCTTGCCACTTCCTGACATCTGACACCTGGATGGCTTGGTCCTAAGCCCCCTCCTCATCTGTGCCCTGGAGAAGTCATCTTCTTGTGGCTTATGGGATGTATCATTCATTTCACTGGACTCCGGGTGCTTCCCTGCTCAAACACCTACTGTGGCTCCCTAGGTCAAAATGAGGCCAAATGCTCACCGCCTTGGTCTGGCCTCAGTATCCCTCTGGTCTCATCTCCCATGACTTTAGCCAGCCTGGGCTCCTCTCTGTGGCGGACAGACCATTTTCTCACTGCTTCCTTTGCTTCTGCTGGCCCCTTGCCCCCAGGGTCCTCCCACCTACCTCTCCAGGCTCAGCTCCGTGGCGCCTCCTGCAGGAAGCCTTGCCTCGCACATAGTCGTGACCCTTCTCTGCTTTGTCTCATTCTGTCACCTTCGCTTAGACTGGGAGATCCCTAAAGCAGGTGGAGTCTCATCCTGTGCCTCTAATGGTGTCTGTCACCTGGCAACTGTATTGTACTGTCAGGAAGCAAATGTCTTATGCATGATACTGAGTTAATAATGCACGTGGCCAACAGCATTTCAGGGCCTTATTTTGTTTGTGCCTGGTCTTCTTGAAAAAAAAAGGTGGTTTAAATCTGGTTTTCTATACACTGTAACTGTGTGGCCTGGGGCTACATGTCACTAGTGGTCATGGTGGCGATTGGTGCCCTCTCGTGGTGGTGTTGGTGGGTGTCAGTTCAGGGGGGCTCCTGGTTACCATTCTGGCTCTGAATCCAGAGTCAGATTAGTTTCCCCCACACTAGCAGCCTGCTGCAGGAGTGGGTTCTTTGGCAAGAACTGAGAGTCAGCTGTGGGATTCCTGAGCTTCCCAGGGGATGGGACTTTTCCCAGAGCTCAGAAAGCAATTGTTCCCATCCCTTGTAGGCTAGGGCCTTCCTTGGGGAACTGGCCTCAGAGATGCTACCCACTAAAGACAGGAACTGGAGCTGGGCCTGGCCCAGAGACCCAGGACTGGAGATGGCCAAAGATCAGGGAGAAAGTGTTATTCTGGCTAAGGGGTCACTCTGTGTGGAGTTAGTCAGTCTGAGAGGTCACCCTGGCTGTGGTCAGTTATACAGGTCACTAGGAAGAGGTCAGGGGTCTCTCCAGCTGAAGTCAGCTGGTCTGCAGTTAGTCTGGTTGTCATTTTGGCTGAAGTCAGATAGTTTGGGGGGTCCTCTGGATGAATTTGGGGTGACTGACCAGAGACTCATCTGGGAGCCACTCTAAGGTTGGTATATCTGGGGCTCACCAACTTGTCTGGTCAGATTGTCTGGAGGATCGTATGACTAGAGTATGACCCTGGCTGGGTCAGACAGTCTGGGGTTGCTTTGAGCAGAGACCTCAGTCTGTGCCTTAGTCTGAGACGGTCATTCAACCTGGGAGTCCTGGCAGGCCATGTCACCTGACTCGGAATGGACAAGAGGAAGCCAAGGAACTGGCTTTCCCAGGCCTGCCTCAGGGTCCCGGTGAAATGTCCTGGAGAAGCTGCCTGGTCACTCCTGAGGGAACAGGAAGGGCCTGGGCCTCAGTCAGGGCTCCCCATCCTGGCTTTGCTTCCTGGCAATCCTTCTGCCTCAGCGATTGACTGGGACCCCCCTGGGTAGGCCCAGGTCAGGCGGAAGCCAGCTGCCCCCTTCATACAGGAAGCAGTCCCTCTTGCTGGGCTGCGCCATGGGCCTTTTTAGAGGGAGAGCTGAGGCCCTCCCAGTGGGGATGGGGTTAAAGCCTCCCGTAGACCCCGGGGTCTGCTGACCCGGGCTTTTCTAACAAAGGGGCAAAGAGCCCAACCAGGGTCCAGCCCCGTCACCGTTACTCCATCCCGTCCGCTTGGTGCCAGCCTCACGCCCACATCTCGTCCTTTCACACTCAGATGAGGTACAGTAGGAAATGAGACCAGCAAGTGGCGAGCCCCTTTGTTCCTGGCTCTGCTGGTGTGTTCCACGTGTCATTTCACATGACCTGCATAGCCACATGGAGCAGCCACTGCTACAGACGAAACACGGAGCCTCCCCAAAGTGAAGTCACTTGCTGCCTGCTGGGCACGTGCCACTCACTCCCCAGTGACTGACTGCCACCCCCCACCATCCCATCTTATTGAGCTGGGAAGTAGCTCAGGTTTGCCTCGGCTCATATTTCTGGTGGGAAGTGTCATTCTGGGCCCCTGACTGACATGCATTCAAATCCTGCCTCTGTTGCTTGTGTGGGTACAAGTGCCACATAGTCAGAGCTGCTGTTCCCTGAGTGCTTACATGTGCTAACTGCATCCCCCTGATGAATTCTCAGCCACCCCACGTGTGGATGGGGAAACTGAGGCTCAGAAAGAGAACAGCTTGCCCAGGGTTGGCAGGTGGCAGAGTCAAGATTCAATCCCAATTATGTCTGATGCCACACCCACCCCTGCCCTGCCCTGTTGTACTGTGGACAGATGGTTTCACCCCTGGGGGTCTCAGTCTGCTCATCTGTCAGATGGGGGAAATCCCAGTGTCTGCCAGGCATCCAGGAGCCCGGCAAGTGGAGGCCTAAGTCAAGTGACCTTGGGTGAGGACTGGATCCCTGGAGCTCTATTAGGAGGACTGTTCATGGTCCTGACTAAGGTGAGGCCTGAGGGACACTCTGCTTGGTGCTTGGCGTCACACTGTGCTTGTTGAAAGCGTGAAGTGATTGGTGGTGATGGTTGTCACTGTTAAGGAGATACTGTCAGGCTGCTTAGGGTTCCACGGTCCTCCCCGGCCTGGGCCCCCCTGTGCCCGGCACAATGAAGATGGAGGAGTGCTGAGGAGTAGTCAGGGGATCTTGGTTCAAACCCCATCTCTGCCACTAGCTAGCTGTGTGACCTGAGAAAGTCCCTCAGGTTTTTTGGGCTCAGTTTCCTCATCAGTAAAATGGGGATACTTCTAATCCTGATCTGATCAGATGGGCTGTTGTGAGGTTCCAGTGACATAACAACAATGACTGCTGGTCCTTGTTAAGGAGGGTCTTTGGTGGGTGGTTGAGCAGTGGGGAGGTCCTGGGAGGTCCTGGGGGGAAGGTCAGTGGGTGGGGACTTGCTATTCAAAGGGAGCATGAGGGGAGGGCCTGGTGAAAGGGAGGGGGTGGGGGAAGGAGTACAGAAGAGGGAGGGGACAGTGGGGGAACCTGGCAAGTGGCCCAGGAGCCCTCCTGGCCAGCAGCCCTGCCTTAGCCTGGGCTAATGGGCTCTGTCCTCACAGCTGGCTGCACCTTCGAGGAGGCGAGTGACCCAGCAGTGCCCTGCGAGTACAGCCAGGCCCAGTACGATGACTTCCAGTGGGAGCAAGTGAGGATCCACCCGGGCACGCGGGCCCCTGCAGACTTGCCCCACGGTGAGCCTACGCTCTCTCCATTCCCCTTTGGTCTTTTTCCAGGGGCAGTTCCGCCCACCTGCTGTGGGACCTGGGGCATGTTACTAACCTCTCTGGCCTCATCGGCTTCAGCATCTGTAATGACATATGTGATGCCGAGTGTGGCGCCCTCTGGACACCGTCCACCTGTGCACCTCAGGTTGTTTCATTGGTAGAATGGGTGCAGGTTTAAGTGATCAAAGGCCCTTATTGCTGCAAGTTAAAACCCACTTCCTGTCACTCCCTTGTAGGTTAGTTCAGGGTCTACCCCACTCCCACCGTGTCTTTGTCACTTTTCCCTGAGGGCCTCTGGGTCCTGGTCTCCTGAGGACCCAGATGCTGCTGGAGCAGTGACGTTGGTGGATATTCCTGTGCCCTTCTCTTCCTGGAACTCACAGGAATATCCACCAACCCAACTTCCGCTTTGCTCTGGCTGCTTCAGGATGGGGCACTCTGGGTCTCCTGAGCACTGGACAGGGAGTCAGAGACTAATTACATGGATTCTGATGCTGGCCTTCCACTCAGATGGTGGGCCCGCAGCACTCATTCCAGAGTCATGAAGATAGGGGTCAAATCCTAGCTCCATCATTTGACTAGCTCTGTGACCGTGGGCAAGTCACTTAACTTCTCAGAGCCCCTCTTCTCCTAACTGTAAAGTGGGGGAGAGCAGTAACTCATTTCAAGGGCCATTAGGTAATGCCTACAAAGTGCAGAGCACTTTTTTTTTTAATTTTTGAGGGTATTTGGGGGGGCCCAATCACTGTAGTTGTTTTCACTGGGCACAGAATCAACTGGGAAGTAAGGGAAATATAAGGCAGATGGAGGTTAATTAATTGATTTTATTTATTACTGATAAGGCCTGGGTCACGGGACACAGATAATGTGACCAAACGGGCTTTCTGAGTAGACCCCAGGATTGGACTGCCAAAAGACCCCTTCCCTTTGCCCTATCACAGTAGTGGCCTGGGGTCTTTCCGGCTTAGTTCACAGCAGGGCTGGGACGGCATCTGCTGTCCAGGGTTGTGGGGAGGGCAGCAAACCTTCTCTGTGGGACCAGGATTTGAAGCCAAGCAGAGGGGGGCCCCTCATGGCCTGGCAGCCACACACTTGTCCCCCACTGCTCACCCTGCCTCCCACTTCTGTGCATTTGCTCAGCTGTCCCCATGTTGGGGCATTCATCTGCTTCTGCAGGGCTCTCAGCTCCCTCTCAGACCTCTGAGCTTGTGGGTCTCACAGTCTCATTTGTCTGAGAATCATCTGTGAAGGTACCTGCCATGGAAGGTCCCTGTGTGGGCCTCTCCAGATCCCCAGGGCCCAGCCTCAGCCTGACGCATGGTTGGTGATCAGGAACAGCTGATTTGAATTCAGCTCTTGCAGTCTTGTGGCCTCTGCTTCTCTTTCTCTCACTGAAGCAGAGACCCACTCTGAGAAAGGGGAGACACAGGCTTAGTATTTGGCATGGCCTTTTGCTAGCTCTGGAGGTGGTGGTGATCAAGGTGTTCAGCCTCCACCCTCCTGGTCTCACAGTGCAGGGAAGGTTGGGGCGGGGGGGGGGGGGGGGGGGGGGGGGGGGGGGGGAGAACCAAGGAAGGAGACCCATACCCCCAGGAGACAGCAGGAGAAGGAAGAGAGACAGGAACAAAGGGAATAAATGAAAGAGCAGGGGAGGGATGCAGAGGAAGCAGGAGAAGAGGCAAGAGCAGTGTCAGACTAGGAGGCACGGCTGCTCACAGGGCCAGGATGTACCTGTTCCCAGGCGGGGACGGGGACCTGGAGTTTTGTTTAATATCCTGCCAGGACTGATCTGGGAGCTGCCTCCACAGGGCTCCTGGCTCACAGAGATGAATGAGATCTCCTCCAGCCAAGTCCCTGGGGAACCTCCTGGAGCGGGAATCTGAATGTGCTTGTGTTGGCCTGCAGCCAAGCCTGGGAGGAGGCGGCTCTGGGTTGCTGTCGGCCTCCCCTTGGCATCTGCTGGGGCCTCTCCCCTCAGAAGGAAAGCCACGTCCCTGGGAGTGTCCCTGTAGCACACAATCTTGATCTTCAGGGAAGGGTCAGGGCTACCTTTTTCCCCCTGGTTAGAAATCAAGAGAGTGTATGTCCCAGGAATCTAGATTCAGGTGGGGGTTGGAAGGAAGTTAATCCTTTCATTCAATCTCTGTCCCACATATTCATTCAGCTTGGGTTCAGAGCCTGTGCAGGGACATAGCGGAGCTCACAGGCTGGCGGGAAGAGAGACACACTTTATGAATGATCCAGGGCCAGGAGGGAAATGTGGAGGCAGGGCTTTGCAAGCTGTGGCCTCAGAAGATCTGCCATGTGCTGGGCTCTTGACTTGTGGGATGGATGACCCAGTCCCTACTTCCAAGGATGGCATGGAACACGGGCAAGCTGTGTCTCAGGCAGGACATGGGTTTGGACTGTGACCTGCAGATGGTGAGGAGCTGTAATAGGTTGTGACAAGGCCAGATCTGTGTGCTTTCTGCTGCTTCAACCGTCTCCTTTGGGAAGCAGATGCTATGAACAGAAGAGACCTACCCCGTGAATCAGAGCTGGGCCCAGAACTCGGCACCTGGACTCCCAGTGAGTTCAAATGCCTGGAGTCCTTGGTTTCTGCCCCTTCTCAGTGCCCACCCAATCCTGGCCCTCCCTTAAGGGCTCCTCAGTTCCTACCTTTTCCTTCTCTCCCTCCAGGTGCCTACTTGATGGTCAATGCTTCCCAGCACGCCCCAGGCCAGCGGGCCCATGTCATCTTCCAGAGCTTAAGCGAGAACGACACCCACTGTGTGCAGTTCAGCTACTTCCTGTACAGTCGAGATGGCCACAGCCCTGGTACCCTGGGCGTCTATGTGCGTGTTAACGGGGGCCCCCTGGGCAGCGCTGTCTGGAATATGACTGGATCCCATGGCCGTCAGTGGCACCAGGCTGAGCTGGCTGTCAGCACCTTCTGGCCCAATGAATATCAGGTGGGCTGGGGTCAGATTGTGGTCAGCCTGTGCCTGGGGCTGAGGGCAGAGGGATGCCACCTTGTATTGGAATAGGATGGGATTAGTCTGTTCAACATCAGGGGTCAGTCTGTGGTCAAGGGTAGAGTTGGTCTGGGGTGAATCTAGGTTCAGCATCAGAGGTCATTGTTACTAGGAGTAGCCTATGGCAGGGGCCAGAGGTGACTTGGAACAGTGCCAGCCTAGGCACCCTGTTTGGCTGGGGAGAATTTTGCTGCTTTTAGGTAATTGTCCAGAATTGGGAGAGAACCTCTGGCCTTGACCTTGTTCTCTCTGTGGTGGCACCACACTCCCCAACCAGCTGGCATGGTGGGGAGGGTCAGAGTGAGTTGGGCTAACCTCTGCTGATTGAGGAGGGTGGGGCTGGGGCCCAGCGATAGGGGGCTCTTGTGGACACCTCCTTAGACAGGGATGGAGGGATGTCAATATGACAAGGGCCTTTCCGCTCCCCCAGGTGCTGTTTGAGGCCCTCATCTCCCCAGACCGCAGGGGCTACATGGGCCTAGATGACATCCTGCTTCTCAGCTACCCCTGCGGTGAGTCCCAGCCACTGGGGGTGCAGGGATGAGGGGTGCGATGGTTGTGGATCTGGTCTGTGTGGGGTGCATGCCTTGGCTCTGTTCCCACAGCAAAAGCCCCGCACTTCTCTCGCCTTGGCGATGTGGAGGTCAATGCCGGCCAGAACGCGTCTTTCCAGTGTATGGCGGCAGGACGGGCTGCTGAGGCGGAGCGCTTCCTTCTCCAGGTGAGGGAGGTCTCAGACCTTGGCCAGGGGTACGGTGGGGTGTGAGTAGCTTATTCTAGTCCTGCGCTGTATCCTGGGGGGCCGAGTACTTCACACTTCAGCACCCATGCCCAGGTGTCTCCCCCAACAGGGTCCCCTTTGCCCTCTTGGGTGCCCGTCACTCTGGGCACACACAGTGAGACTACTGTGTAGGAGGGGTGGGTGAATGACCCCTACCCTCACCGAGGTCTGAGCGAGGTCCAGATCCCTCTCTCCTGGGCTCCCTTGACCCTGCCGCTCCTGTTCCCCTGCAGCGGCAGAGTGGGGCGCTGGTGCCCGCGGCCGGTGTGCGGCACATCAGCCACCGGCGCTTTCTGGCCACCTTCCCGCTGGCCGCGGTCAGCCGCGCAGAGCAGGACCTGTACCGCTGCGTGTCCCAGGCCCCGCGCGGCGCGGGTGTCTCTAACTTCGCGGAGCTCATCGTCAAGGGTCAGCGAGGGCTACTAGGAGGACCTCAGGGGCGGCTGGAGGAGGGGGTGGGGCCCTGGTGGGGTCTGGTGGGCGGAGTTGGACAGGGCGTGGCCTGAGGAAGGGTAGGGCCAGCGCCTGGGCGGGGTGTGAGCTGAACCCCTAGGCCTGCTGATGGGACAGAGCTGGTAGGGTCTGGGTGGCCGAGGTCCAATCAAGGCAGCAGGGTTGGCCCTGAGGCATGGCCTGGTCCAGAGGTGGGTCTGAGGGTGGGGCAGACAGGGTCCCGGTCCAGGTGAGAGCTGGTGAGGTGTGTGACAGTGCCTTCTAAGTGTTGACCAGCTCGAGTGTCATCAGCCATAGGAGCAAGGCTTGGGGATTTATAGGAGAATGAGGGGGTGCATGTGGGCTGGAGGGTGAGGGCAGGGTCAGCCTTTGGAGCGTGGCCCCTTAAGGCTTGGGGATTTAGTAGGGGTCAGAGAACTGGCCTGGACAAGGCATGACGGGTCTGGGAGGGCAGGCTGGCATCTTGGGGATGTGGGTGTGGTGGAATGCAAAGTTGGGAGCATGGGTCTCACAGCAGCATTGACTGTCTCCCCACCCTTTTGCAGAGCCCCCCACTCCCATCGCACCCCCGCAGCTGCTGCGTGCGGGCCCCACCTATCTTATCATCCAGCTCAACACCAACTCCATCATCGGCGATGGGCCGATTGTGCGCAAGGAGATTGAGTACCGCATGGCGCGTGGCCCATGGGCCGAGGTGCATGCAGTCAGCCTGCAGACCTACAAGCTGTGGCACCTTGACCCTGACACCGAGTATGAGATCAGTGTGCTGCTCACGCGTCCTGGAGATGGCGGCACTGGCCGCCCAGGTCCTCCACTCCTCAGCCGGACCAAGTGTGCAGGTAGGTACACCTGCCACCTCCTGCTCCAGTCCCTCTTCTGGACACCGGGCAGGGCAGTGTGGGGGCAGAAGGGCACATTCCCAGAGGTAGTATGGCCTGGATCTGTGTTTTAAAACTTAGTAAGACGTCATGACTTTTCCTTAACTCTTATTTTGGTTAAGATGATATTACTTTACTCGGTTTCAGCCTTTTAAGCATATGTGTATATACACACACATGCCCGATTTAAAACTTACCACAACACCATACCCATTTTACAGATGAGTGACTGAAGTACAGAGATGTGAAGTGACTAGTTAAAGAACACACCTAGTAAGAGGCAGAGATGGGACTGGAACTCTTGACTGGCTGGCTTCCAAATCCACGTTCTTTGTTCTACTTTATATCATCTAGATAGAAGAATAACTAATAGAAGTGTGTGATAAATTCTTGCTGGATTCTCTCGACTGGGTATTGAGCCTGAAGTCTCCTCCTTGTTAAAAACCCTGAAGTAGTAGTTGTTAAGATCTATGGTATGCCTGGGCCAGAGGAAACTGTTTAACCAGAAAAGAAATTGAGAGCAGTGTTTTGTGATTTCAGTATGTTGTATTTATTGGAATTTCATTGAGATATGTGTAGAGTCACATGAGATTGTAAGAAAAACACAGGGCAATTCCCTGTACACTTTACCTTGTTTTCTGCAATAGTAACATTTTGCAAAACTATGGTGTATTACAATCAAGATATTGACGTTGGTACAATGTACAGATCTTATTCAGACTTGCCAGTTTCACTTTATTTGTATAAATGTGTGTGTATTTAGTTCTATACAGTTTGCAGTTTGTCACTGGATGTCTTCATCATGGAGGTCAAATACTGAACAGTTCAGTCACCTGAAGGACCTTTTGTGTTGATCTCTTTTTTTTATTTTTTGGTGGTGGTGCTGGGGATTGAACCCACGGTCTTGTGCATGCGAGGCAAGCACTGTACCAACTGAGCTATATCCCCAGCCCCATGTGTTGATCTTTTATAACCATATTCCCCCTCTTTCCCTAAACCCTCCAACCCTTGATAATAACTGATCTGTACTTCATTTCTAGAATTTTGTCATTTCAAAAATGTTATGTAAATGAAATCATGTGGCATATAATCTTTTGGAATTGTTGGGTATTTTTAGTAAGTATTTATTGTAATATAATTAATATCTCATAAAATTCTCTCATTTAATTGTACATCTCAGTGTTTCTAAACATTCTGAGTTATGCAACCATCAGCACAATTGATTTTGGAACATTTTGTCAACCCAAAAAGATACCTTGTATTCTTTAACCGTCACCCCATTTCACCCTAGTTCCTTGAACCCTAGGTAAGCACTAATCTACTTTATCTTTCTATTGATTTGCCTCTTTGTAGATGTTTCATAGATAGAATCACACAATATATAGTGTTTTGTGACTGACTTCATCATTTAACATGATGTTTTCAAGGTTTATCTAATGTTGTAACATAGATTGGTACTCCCATTCCTTTTTATTGCTAAATAATTTTCCATTGTATAAATACGTCACATTTTATTTGTCCATTCATCAGTTGATGGACACTTGGATTGTTTACACTTTTTTGGTTATTATGAACCATATTTCTATGAATATTCATGTACAAGTTTTTATGTAGACATTTTTATTTATTTTGAGTATCTATCATATATGTTGTGTGGTCACTCTACATGTAACTTTTGAGGTGCTACTGGACTGTTTTTCAAAGCAGCGGTACCGTTTTATTTTACATCCCCTACCTCCCGCAGTGGATGGGGTTCAGCTTCTCTACATCCTTGCCAACACTTATTCTGTCTTTGGATTATAACACCCTAGTTGGTATAAAATGGTATCTTATTGTAGTTTTGATTTGCATTTCCCTGATGACAAATGATACAGACCGTTTTTTTTCATGTGTTTATTGATGATTTGTATTTCTTCTTTGTAGAAATGTCTATTCAGATTTTTTTACCCATTTTAAGGTGGGTTGTCTTTTTATTATTGTTTTTTAAGAGTTTTTTATTCTGGATACTAGATTTTCATTGGATATATTTTCACATGTTTTCCTCCCATATGTGGGTTGTCTTTTCCCTTTCTTTCTTTTTTGGAATTGAACTCAGGGATACTCAACCACTGAGCCACATCCCTAGCCCTATTTTTTATTTTATTTAGAGATGGGGTCTCACTGAATTGTTTAGCACCTCAGTTTTGCTGAGGCTGGCTTTGAATTTGCAATCCTCCTGCCCCAGCCTCCCGAGCCGCTGGGAGTACAGGTGTGCGTCACCTTGCCCAGCCATCTTTTCCCTTTCTTGATGGTGTCCTTTGAATCACAAAGGGTTTTCCTTTTGACAAAGCCCAACTTAACTAATTTTTCTTTGTTGTTTGTGCTTTTGATATCATATCAAAGAAATCATTGTCTAATTGAAATCATGAGGGTTCACTTCTACATTTTTTTGCCCAAGAATTTTATAGTTTTGACTCTTTACATTTAGGTTCTTGATCCATTTTGAGTTAACTTTTATAAATGGTGTGAGGTAGGGATCCATCTTCCTTTTTTGGTGTATGGATATCCAGTTACCCCATCGTTGTTTATTGAGAAGACTGTCCTTTCTCAATTGAATTATCTTGGCATTGTAACTGGCTTTTTTTTTTTTTTAAACTCAGCATAATTCCCTGGAGATTCATCCAATTTGTGCGAATCAATATTTCATTCCTTTTTATTGATGAGTAGTGTTACTTGGTTTGGTTATCCTGTTTGTTTACCATTCACCTGTTGAAGGACATCTGGATGGGATCTGTTTTGGGCTGTTTGCAAATAAAGGCCAATGAATATTCATGTACAGGTTTTCTCATGAACATAAGTTTTCATTTTTCTGGGATAAATGACCAGGAGTACCATTGATGAGTCATATGGTTATTGCATGTTTGGTTTTATCAGACACCGCCAGAGTGGCCGTATTGTATTACAGTCTCACCATACAGTGATCTAGTTTTCTGCATCCTTGACAGGATTTGGTGTTGTCACTATTTTTTATTTTAGATATTCTGAGAGGTGTGTAGGTGATTTTTCCATTGTGGTCTTCATTTGTATTTCTTTAATTCCTAGTGATGCTGAACATCTATCTATTCACATGCTGTTTGCCATCTGTGTGTCCTTTTTAGTGAATTGTCAGTTTAAGTCTTTGCCCATTTTCTAATGGGGTTCTCCTTCTCCTTCTTGTCTTCTTCTTCCCCCTTCTGCTCCTCTTCCTCCTCCTCCTCTTTCTTCTTCCTGTTGAGCCTTGAGAGTTCTTATGCATTCTAGATACCAGTCCTTTAATAGATGTATAGTTTGCATATATTTTCTCAGTGTGTTTCTTAGTCTTTTCATCTTTTCTGTATGGTCTTTCATAGAGAGGCCATTTTTAATTTTAGGCCTCCCACCGTTTTTTTTCCCCCCCATTACCAGGGATTGAACCCAGGGACACTTAACCATGGAACTATATCTCCAGCTCTTTTTATTTTGAAACAGGGTCTCACTCAATTGCTTAGGGTCTTGCTAAGTTGCTGAGGCTGGCCTTGAACTTGTGATCCTCCTGCCTCGGCCTCTGAGTTGCTAGGATTACAGGTATATGCCATTGTGCCTAGCTGAGGCCCCCCCACCTTTTTTAAAATCAAATTTCCCTTGTTTAAATTGTGCTTTTGGTGTCAAGTCTAAGAATGCCTTGCCTAGCCCTAATTCACAAAGATTGTCTCTAGTTTTTTTCCCCCTCAAAGTTATGGTTTACATCTAAATCCATGATCTGTTTGGGATAAAATGTGAGGTTAAGGTCAAGGCTTATTTACTTTTTTCAATTGATGTTTTAAAAAGACAGACTGTGAATCATTTAAAGTCCAGTTTAGTGCTAGGCTTAGGGAGGCCCTAGGGTGGTGGCGGATCAATGTCCAAGGGGAACTGCCTTGTAGCTGAGGGGCTAGACCAGGTTATTTAAACCTCTCAGAGGATCAGAAACAATGGCACTGATGCTCTGAGAACAGAAACAATAATCTTTACACTACAGGGTTAAAGATTCATTAACACATGTTGATTGAGCACCTATTATGCACTAGGTACTATTGTAGTTGCTAGGAATATTTGACTGTGAGACAGACAAAGGCCACCAGCACATGAGTTCTTCATGAAACTGCTAGGATCTTACATTTCAGGCAGGAAGAGACAGATGATAAATAAGTAAACAAGTGGAATATATAGTTTGTCAGATGGTGATAAGTGCTGTGAAGAAGAATAAATCAAGGAGGGGAATGGGGTGTGTGGGTTGGATAGTTTTATTTTAAAAAGGCTCAACGGACTGTCTTTCTGAGAAGGTGACATTTGAGCAGAGATATGAAGGAGGTGAGGGACTGGGGGGCGGATCATTGGGGGAAGGGACATTCTGGGCTGATCCACCAGTGAGTTCAAAGGCCCGGAGGCTGGAGCATCAAGGAGACCCATGTGAATGGTTAGTGACCCAGGGGAGACAGCAGGAGAGGACCTCAAAGTGGAGCTGGGGAGGGGGGACTCAGGCGAGCGAGGTGCGTAGCTACGGCAGGGCCTGGAGAGCAGGAGCACACACCCTCTGCTTGTATTTAGAAGTGTCATTGTGGCCCTTTTGTGGCCAGTAGACCGTAAGAGGACAGGGGGAGCACACAGGAGACTAGGGAGGAGGTTACTGCAGCAACCCAGCTGGGACATGGTGGGGGTGGTGATGGTGGTTAAAAAGTGGTCAAATTCTGGTTTGCCTTGAAAGTACAGCTAAGGGCGTTTGCTGGTGGATTGGATGTGGGATGAAGGAGAGGGAAATGCAGAGAAGTCCAGGATGTTTCTAAGGCGTTTTGCTTGAACAGTGGGAAGGATGGAGTTGTCATTTACTGCGAAGGAGCGGACTGCGGCAAGAGCTGGTTTGACGGGGTGTCATAGATCAGGAGTCTGTGTTGGAGATGTTGACTTTGAGAAGCTATTAGATGTTCCAGTGAAGATATCCATCAGGCAGGTAGATATATGAGTGCGGAGTTCAGGGGAGAGTTCAGGCTGCAGCTATAAATCTGAAAGTTGTCAGGGTAGAGATGGTGTAGATGGGATTTAAAGCCACGAGGCTCGATGAGCTCTTTCGCACTAGTGGTTCTCAACAGGGGTGATTGTCGCCTAGGAGACACTTGGCAGTGTTTGGAGACACACTGTTGTCACTACTGGGTGGTAGCAGTAGGTACTACTGGCATCTAAGGGGTAGAGGGCAGGGAATTGCTAAACATCCCACGATGCATGGATAACTCCTGGCAACAAAGAACTATCTAGACCAAAATGTCTACAGTGCCCAGTTGAAAACCTCTGATTTAGTTCTTAGATTTTTTTTTTAAAGGAAATTAGCGTACATGGAAGTGAAAATAGCTGTGAAGCTTGAGCCTTGGGGTCCTCCAGTGTTTTGGGTTAAACGTGGGCAATTGCAACTAAATGCACTAAATACACATGAAATACAGAGCCCAAGACACAGCAAGCCCTCAGCAAATGGCAACTGTCACCATCATGATGTTCTTAACTTTACAAAAGCAGTTCTGATCTGTCTACCACTTTAGAATAAAATAAATCAGAGCTTGGGGGCTCTTTAGAGGATCTCTGTAACACCCCTCTGTGTGTACACATGGGGAACCAGACCCAGGGAGGGGAAGGGACTTGACTGAGATCCTATGGTGGGTCAAGAACCCAGGGTTCATGCTGATGACTTTTGATTATTCTCATTTTACAGATGAATACGCTGAGATTTAGAGATTGAGTCACTTGCCTCAGTCTACGTGGTGGTTCCACAGCAGGGCCAGAGTCAGAGTTTGAATAGCTTCATTTCCAATCTGGTGTTTTTTTAAACAATGACAGTAGCAGCAACAGCCATTGCCACTGCCTTTGTGGGCTGGGTGCCCTCTTGGTGCCAGGCACTGCTGCACACTTCACTGAGGCAGCCGGGTCAGGAGCTGGGGCAGGGGCAGGGGCCGGCCAAGTAGACGTGATGCAGACACCTCACCCCACCCCTCTTCATTACACGCTCCTCTTTGTTGATGATGTTGCCACCGGCACCTTGCTCAGGCGCCTTGGCCAGTGGCTGTTGTGCTCTCTGCCAGCTGTGTTGTCATCTCCTCTGTCCCCACAACTCCCCTCCCACTACATTATTTGCCATAAAAACAATAATACAATATCAGTAAAAGGCTTTTTTTTTTTAAATCACCACTCTGAATCTCACCATCTTAGCCCAACAGCTGTTTAATTTTTCTGTCTTGTTCAAATCTCTGCCCATATGTCTGTAGTGCACATTTTTACACGCTTGTCATTGGGATGTGGAAAGCGTTCGGGATTCTGCTTCATTTCCTTGTGCTGTTCCGTGTGCTGTGCTGGTTATAATTATGTTTATTGCTTGCAGAAGTCTGTTGAGTGGCCCCGGATTGCTGGGCTGTTTGTTTCCAGATCACAGTTATTATAAATAATACTACATTGGAAAACGCAATGCTTATAGTTATGTTTTTTTTTTTTTTTTTTCCCTCTTGAGTCATATTCTTTAGAGTAAATACTCAGAAGTGGTTAAAGAAAGGGGATTGACATAACCTTGTTTGGAAAGATGATTTTACTGCTGCTGGTGTCCCGTGTCAGTGCAAGTGTTTATTTATGAATTACTATAGGCCAGACTACTTGGCCCGTATCATCTCATGTAACTCTCATATTTGCCCTTCAAGTAAGTGTTATTATCTCCATATTTTTTAAAATCCAGGAACCTGCTGTCAGTGTTCAAAGGGGTTAGTAACTTGCCTGAAGTCACAGAACTAATGAAGGGTAGAGATACTTGTGAACTTTGATGGACTATGACCCCAGTCTCCTTTTCATGAGATAAAGTTGAAAGTTTTTTGAGGTTTTTTTTTTGGTACTGGCAATGGAACTCAGGGTCACTCAACCACTGAGCCACATCCCCAGCCCTGTTTTGTATTTTATTTAGAGACAGGGTCTCATTGAGTTGCTTAGCGCCTCACTTTTGCTGAGGCTGGCTTTGAACTTGAGATCTTCCTATTTCAGCCTCCCGAGCTACTGGGATTGTAGGCATGTGCCACCGTGCCTGGCTGTTTCCGAGTTTTTGCTTCCTTCTGAGCATTACTAAAATCAACACATTTGGGGCTAATTTAACAGATGTTTAACATTACCCGTCTCATTTTAATGTGCATTCTGACCTCTGATCTTCCAGTGGCCTACAGCCCTGTGGAATTCAGAGGAATGGGGCTTCGAAGTCCCCAGCTCTGTTTTGTCAGTGTGTTGGCAGCTGAAGAGAGTGTCTGGGTGCCAGATGGTTTTCAGAAACAGAGAGGCTCATGGATCCACACCCTTCAATCAACATATCAGTCTGTAGTTGACTCATGCATGATTCCAGCCCCCTGGATCTGCCCAGGTTTGATCAGGGAAGAGAGGGAGGGAAGAGAGGAGTGGGCCCTTTTGGAGATCCCTCCGACCAGTGAGGGAAGTGACAGCTTTCCCAGCTGTTAGAGAATGGGGTGGTCGAGCATGAAGGTGGGAGTGTCTTTCTCCAAGTCACAGGTCGCTATCTTGGACCCTGCTCGGTGGGTTTAAGAAGCTTGAACAGGTTGCCGGTTTTTGGAAATCTGGACATTTCACACAAAAATCTTGGAATTTCTGGTTTCTCTTGAAAACTGGGAGGACGTGGCCCCCCTGAGCCTGCAGTCCCGCTTGGCAGCAGTCACTGAGCCATGAGGAGGAGCTGCCTCTCTTGGGTGGGACACCTGGAGTCCTGCTTGCTGTCTTCTTCTCCCAGCTGTGTCTCCAGTTTGCCTTGAACTTTCCCTGCCTTTCTGTAAATGCTGCTGGTGGGCGGGGAGGCGGTGTGCTCCCACCAAGCCTGAATGGACTGGGAGAGGGTATGCGGCTGGCACCCCAGGGGCTGGAGGTGGTGTCGGCCCAGCTGCAGGGGCCCGAGGCCCACTCCCACTCGTGCAAACCAAGCAAGCAGCAGTTACTTGGCCTCCATGGACACCCTGGGGCCGAGCACCTGGGCCAGCTTGGACCATTGCCAGAGAGTCAGAGTCAAGCAGGACTTAGGAGCAAGATGATAAGTGTTCACAAAGTCTGCCCCCCACTACCACATGAAAACAGAACTCATAAAACCCCAAACAGGGAAATCTCCTGGGACAGGAATGGGAGATAAAACTACACATGGCAGGCTGGGGCCGGGGCCGGGGCTCAGCGATAGTGCACTTGCCTGGCACGTGTGAGGCACTGGGTTCAATTCTCAGGTCTGTCTGTCTGTCTATCTATCTATCTATGGCAAGTGTGTGCAGCCAGCGGCCCTCAGATCGCGGTGAGCAGCAGGGACTAGCCGCTTCATGTCCAGGGCGACAGAATTTACCTTGCTGTGGGAGGAGGGTACTAGGTAAGAGGTCAGGGGCTGACATCTCTCTCTGATGGCCAGATATGTGACTTTCCTGGAGCCCAGGGAAGAAAGGGAAGGCTCCTGGGTAGAAAGGGAAGCAGTGTTGTGCTGGTTATGCGCTTCCCAAACTGTCACCTGTGTGCTCCCCTGTTGCTCCCCTGTGTCGTCTTGATGAGGGGGCATTCTGAGCAAACTAATGGTAGGAAAAATGACCCTAGGGTCTTAGTTAATCTCCTTAAGGGCTAAGTAGCAGGACTTAGCCATCCATTCATGAAGGGATCCTGAATACCCTAACTGGGGACACACTGCAGGTGCTCAGAGGACTCATGGGTGAGGAAGCTGCGTGTCACAGAAACAGGGTGCAAGAGAGAAAGGGTCATTAGAAGGCCACTGTGGCTTCTTCCCTCCTCTCACAGATGTGGGAACAGAGGCCGGAGGTTTGCTTAAGATCATGTATCTGGGCAGCACAGATGCAGGCCTGGGCAGAGTCTCGGGCTCCTCCTGCTTCACTTTGGAAGCCTGAGGTTTCCTTCTTTATAAAATGGAGAGTCACCTGGAGACTGTGTAGTACCGCCTCCTCCTCTTTCTGTCTGTGTTCTGAGACATGGCTGTGACTGGTTCCTTGACAGTGAATTCCACCTGGAGGGTGGGGACAGCTGTAGGTGAAAGCATGATTCTAGAGCCATCCTGTCCAGCATGGGATCCCAGCTTCATCACTTACTGCCTGTGTGAATGGGCAGCTCATTTACTCTCCACAGCTGTGTGACAGGGCTAAAAGCTCACTGGACTACAGCAAGGATTAGAGATAAAGCATTTTAAAGCCTCTAGAGAAATGTCTGCCACATTCAAAGCCCCCCAAATGTTTACTGCCATTATTATTACAGAGCCGATTGTGTTTCCCTTTGAACTCACCATTGAACTTGAACCTTATCTTTAGAGTCTACCTAGCATGTAACAGCATGCATTTCTGTCTGTTTCCCAATCTTGTTCTGGCTCATTTAACTCTTTGGCTCTCATTTTCACCACCCTCCTGGTTCTACATGCTACTGTATCATACACATGGCTGTAAACTGTTTCACAATAACTTTGGAGAGCTCAAGTTAAGGAAAACATTGCCCTACACATTGATTTAGACTGGCCCAGGGTGTAGTCTAGAATGATACGGAATTAGAAGGTGAACTGTACTATTAAAAAATCACAGCTAATATTTTTGAAGGAGTATTGTGCTAGCCATTGTCATGCATGCCTTACCTTAAACGTAACAATGATCCTGTGCAGCAAGGTCTATTATTTTCTTATTTTGCAGTTCAGGAACTGAGGCTCAGAGAGGTAAAGTGACCAAGGCAGAGGTTGCCAGCTGCACACAGCATAGTCGGGATTCCTGATTCCAGAGCACACCCTGTTACACCATGTTCAGTTCTAGGGGGTCCCTTGAGCTCTTGGGGACAAAGGAGGGATAGATTCTGTCAGTGATTGGTGCTCTTTGTCCTTGTCCCTCATCCTCCCTTCCCATTTCCTCTCCTTTCTCGCAGAGCCCATGCGGGCACCCAAAGGCCTGGCTTTCGCTGAGATCTTGGCTCGCCAGCTGACCCTGCAGTGGGAACCGCTGGGCTACAACGTGACACGCTGCCACACCTACACTGTGTCCCTGTGCTATTACTACACCCTGGGCAGCAGCCACAACCAGACCGTCCGCGAGTGTGTCAAGATGGAGCGGGGCGTCAACCGCTACACCATCAAGAACCTGCTGCCCTACCGGGACGTCCACGTGCGCCTGGTCCTCACTAACCCCGAGGGGCGCAAGGAGGGCAAGGAGGTCACCTTTCAGACTGACGAGGATGGTAAGGGCGCCAGCCGCGATTCCTAGGGCCCCCGAGTTCCTCCCCCACATCCTGTGTCTGAGACTCAAGTTTATTATACAGAATTTTTTGCTTAGGATGAAACCGCTGTATACCACAAAGCAATGAGAGCTAATAGTTATTCTCTGGAGGACTGTGGGTTCATTCTTAAGCATTTGGAAGAGTTTAGTAGGGAAGGGATTTGGGACTAGAGTTTTCTTTGTGGCAAGGCTTTAAATAATAGTTTTAATTTGAAAATAGATACTGGAATATTCAAATTTTCTTTGTATACTGTGATTTTTCAAGAACTTTGCTCCTTTCACCTAAATTGTGAAATGTCTTGACCTAAAACATTTGCTTATAAATTCTCCTTTATTTAATACCTATATAATCTGTAGTCTGTACTGATAGCCCCTTTTTCTTTTCTGATACAGATAATTTGTATTTTCTGTCTTTTTTTTCTTGTTTACTCTTGCTTGGGATATATAAATTTTGTTAATTTTTCCAAAGAGCCAACTTTGGCTTAGTTGATTTTTTTCCCCCCATGGAATTGAACCCAGGGATGCTCTACCTCTGAGCTAATACCCTGCCCTTTGAAAATGTTTTATTTTGAGGCAGAGTCTTGCTAAGTTGCTGAGGCTGGCCTTGAGCTTGTGATCCTCCTGCCTCATCCTTTGGAGTAGCTGGGATTGTGCTCATGCACCTCTGGGCTTGGCAATATTTCATTTTGTATTCTTTCTTTTTTAAAAAATATTTTCTTTGGATTTGATTTGCTGTTTTTTTTTTTTTTTTAGCTTTTGGGAATGGAAGATGTCTTAGATCAATAGTTCTGAGCCTCCATTTCTAATATGCACTTAAAGCCATACATTTCCTTTTAATCCCTTCTTTATGTGCATCCCATGAGGATTTTTTTGTTTGTTTTTAGTTGTAAATGGACACAATACCTTTATTTATTTTTGTGGGGTGCTGAGGATTGAACCCTGTGCCTCACACATGCTAGGCAAGCACTCTAAGCCACAACTCCAACCCCAGGTCTTTTTTTTTTTTTTTTTTGGTAATGCTGGGAACCAAGGCCTCTCAGATGCTAAGCAAATCACAGAGTTATATCCCCAGCTTTCATTAGTTTTGATATGTCTCATCTTCATTATCATTCAGTTCAAAATATTTTCTAATTTTTTATAATTTCTTCTCTGACTCAAGAGTTATTTAGAATTATGTTGCTTAATTTTTAAGCAATTAGGACTTCTAATTATCTTTTTGCTATTGATTTCCATCTTAATCCCACTGTGGTCAGAGTACATACTCTAAATTTAGCCTTTTGAAATTCGATTCTTTCTTTATGGTCCCAGCATGTGGTTGAATTTTGGTAAATGACCCATGTGTGCCTGAAAAAAAAAATTGCTTTCCATCATTTTGGGGGCAGTGTGCTAAATCTGCCAGACTCATCTTTACTGAGCACTTACTGTACATCAGACACTATGCTGAATGTTTTTCATCTATTAATGGCTATATAATCGCCATGACAACCTATGTGATAGGCTACGGTCCTCACTTTACAGATGAGGTCACAAAGCTAGTTTGTAGGCAGCAGAGCTGGTTTCAAACCTGGCCTTCTGGTTTCCAAGTTGTCATTATTTATTTATTTATTTTAAATGCTGGGGATCAAACCCAGGGCCTTGCTCATGCTAAGTGTGCACTGAGCCCCACCCCCACCCCTGAGAGTTGTCCTTCTCAACCCCTGCAACTCTCATACCAGGACAGGTTCAAAGCCTTCCCTTTAGATTCCTGCAAACCCCAGGTGCCCCTAAGCTCCCTGGTGGTGGATTTTCTTGCTGCCCTACACGTGCAGTTTTCTCTTCTGCACAGCACTGGCCCAGACACAAAGGCAACCCCTGGTTTGCTTTCCACAAAACTCCATCACCCAAGGCAGTGTGTGTGCCCTGTGCTAAGCATCTTCCAGGGGTAATGAGGACCGGCTGTGATGATTCTGAGACGTTGCAAGCAACCTCAGGCTGAATGTCAGACCACCCCCTTTCCAAAGTCTGTTGACCTCTGCATCCCCCATTCCCGGGTTTGTTATGGCTGCCTCACCCTCGCTGGCCTCACTTGGGCCACTTGATCTTTTTTTTAGTCCTCTCCCCACTCCTATAATGGTTGTTGTTATTATTATTATTATTTTTACTTTTCCTCAAAGTATTAATAAAATATTTACAGAAATTGTATTTTGGGGAGGTCCTGAGGATTGAACCCAGGGAGTTTCACGGGGCCTCACTAAGTTGCTAAGACTGACCTTGAACTTGTGATCTTCCTACCTCAGTCTCCTGAGCCGCTGAGATTATGGGTGTGCACCACAGTGCCCAGTTTACAGAAAGTATCTTAAATGGTCAGCCAATGAATTGTCACTTGAAGAAACCCATGCCCAGACCAGGAAATGACATTGCCAGTGCCCCAGGAAGCTCCTTTTTTGCTTTCTCCTGGTCACTACCTCCCAAGGGTAATCATTATGCCTACCTGTAACAGCAGATTGATTTTCTTGGTTGGGACTTTATCGAATGGAAGCAGAGAGCATTCTTTATCTACTCAACTTCTTTCTCTCAACTTCATGCTTGAGAGACTCAGCCACATCGTACGTGCCGTCCTGGGGAGTTCAGTTCTCACTGCTGAATAGCTCATTATGGGGATAAATATACCGAATTAAAAAAAAATCCTGTTTACTGTTGTTGAGTGTTTGGGTTGCTTCCGATTTTTGTCTATTTTGAAGAATGCTTATAGTTTGAAAACATTTTCTCTTGGTGGATATACACATTTCTGATGGGTTTACTCCTTGGAGTGGAACAGCTAGGTAACAGGACATATGTTTCTCTTTAGTAGATCTTGCCAGACGGTTTCCCAAAGTGGTGGGACCAGCGCACACTCTGCTGCCAGGTGTGAACATTTTGGTTGCTCTGTGTCCTCATCAACACTAGAAATCGTCTTTTTTTTTTTTTTTTTCATTTTGCCATCTTGATGGACAGACAGTGGTCTCCTGAGCTATTTGTTTTCCCACAGAGCAGCTTAGATTATGTTGACTGTCATCTCCGCTTCCGCTTTCTCTGCCTGAGGACTTCAGCTTCCCCACAATGCTTTGTCAAGGTGTTTTTCCAGTCTGAAGCTGTCTTCTTCCTGAGTGAAATCCCTCTGCTTGCTGTTAGGAGTACACATTAAAACAAAAACCCAAACAGAATCAGACCATGCCCGGAAGTGTTTATGCTCAACTCTTAACAGTATTTATGCTTGGGTGATGCAATTGTAGGTGTTGTTAATTTTCTTTATGTTCAGTTAGACTTTTTTTTTTTTTTTTTTTTTTTTGCATTGAACATATTGTGAATGTAATTAGACAGTTTTAGATGAGAAAACACTTCCAACCCATACTCCTGATACCCGAGTGCAATTGTTGTTTTCATTTTTCTGGCAAATATCTATATTTTCTGACAACTTCCCAGCTGGAGCCAAATAGGAGCTGTCACACATTCCTCTGGGGGCACCGTGACCTGCACAGCAGTGAAAATACCAGCTGCCCCTTTGGAGAGCTCAGGAATGAGTCAAGTCACAGGAGGTTGATATTCCCCTTCAGGCTTTATGTATATCATGTTATTTAGGCCTGGTTAGGGAGGGGGTTTCGTCCTCCCCATTTCATGGATGAGGAAAACAAGGCTTCACGAGGGGAAGAGGAGTTCAAGTGGACGAGCAGGGGAGTGGTGAGGTTGGAATGTGCATCCATGTATTTGGAGCCCAGACCCACTTTCCTCTGCCTTTTCCCCCTCACAGTGCCTGGTGGGATTGCGGCTGAGTCCCTGACCTTCACGCCACTGGAGGACATGATCTTCCTCAAGTGGGAGGAGCCCCAGGAACCCAACGGCCTCATCACTCAGTATGAGGTGAATGGAGGCCCCGTGGTCAGAGGCTATGCCCTGTGGGTTCCTTGTTAGGGGGGTCTGGGGACATGAATGAGAGGCAAGGTACCCAGAAACCTGGCCTGAGGGGAACCCCCAGTCCCCCTAGCCCAGCCGGCTCCTCGGGAGCTTGGTAGGTGGGAATTGGCAACATGGGTCCCTGTCCCATGCTGGCCTGCCTGCTTGCCCTGCCCCCAGATCAGCTACCAGAGCATCGAGTCCTCAGACCCTGCAGTGAACGTGCCGGGTCCCCGGCGTACCATCTCCAAGCTCCGCAATGAGACCTACCACGTCTTCTCGAACCTGCACCCAGGCACCACCTACCTGTTCTCCGTGAGGGCTCGCACGGGCAAAGGCTTTGGCCAGGCAGCGCTCACTGAGATCACCACCAACATCTCGGGTGAGCCCCGCAGCCCAGCCTGGCCCGAGGAGGTGGCCCAGAATGCCAGCCTTCTGTGAGCAGAGGTGGGATGGGGTGGCCTGAGGGTGCTTCCAGAGGACCCCTGCTGAGATAAATGTGCCTTCCAGGGTTGATGTCAGGGTCAGGGAGGACTAAACCCGAAGAGGCAGGAGACCATTGGTGGATTCAGAGGGTTGAGGTTGGGTTAGTGCTCAGGGTCAGGGGCCAGCGAAGCCAAGGAAGTCAAGACATCAGGGGAAGAGCTCTGAGGGCAGGGGTCAGGGGGCTGAGGGGTGGCCTTCCTGATCCAGTGGCCAGGCTCCATGCTTGTGTCCCTGTGTCCCTGTCCCCCTCCCCAGCTCCCAGCTTTGACTATGCTGACATGCCGGCACCTCTGGGCGAGTCGGAGAACACCATCACCGTGCTCCTGAGGCCTGCACAGGGCCGTGGTGCGCCTATCAGGTGGGACAGCCCTCGTGGAGAGGTGGGAGGTCAGGGCCACAGGGAAGAGCCCCTTGCTCCGACCCACAACCCCCACCCAGGCCAGCTCCCTCGTTCGCCCTCAGTCTTCCAACTTGGGCCTCAAAGTGGAGGAGGATGTTCTGTGTTCCAGGCAGGTGGAACGCCTGTGCTCTCTCCCCTGAGTCATGGGTCTCTGAGGGTAACTGTCAGGAGTTCTCTGGACACTGTCCAGCTTGCAGAGGGACCTGCCCAGGCCTCTGCAGGGGGCTTCTTCAGATACCCTGGAGAGGGGAAACTGCAGGTCTCGTGTAGTCTAGCTCTGTTCCTGGAGACATAGGAGTGGGCTCTCTGGAAGACAAGTGCAGCTGGCCGCAGAGGGTTGCCTCTCTGGGGTGGCTGCGTGCTCAGCTTCTTTGCATCTTTCTCCGCAGAAGAAGCTGGGCTGTTGAGGCCATGGTGGGGGAAGGTTCTGGAGTGGAGATGGGGTGTGTGAGAGTGGGGCGAGCCTGGGTGTGTGCGCGTGTGATGTGTGGTGTGGCGGTGAGTGTGCATGAGGGTTTTCAGGCACACGTGTGCACGTACTCCTATCAGCCAGACACTGTGAGAGGGACTTTACATGCACAAAGTCACTTTGTCCTCTTGCAACTCTGGAGTGTGTTTTACCTGCCCCCAAGGCTGCATGGCCATACGGGCTAGGATTTGGACTGTGGGTCTGTCTGCAAATCTTGTCTCTTATGGACATCACCCTCCTCCTCATCTTCCCCTCTGGTGGACCCTTTTCCTCCTCAAAGGCGCATGCACTGGGAGAGGGTGACAACCTTCAGTGGTGGGGGTGTGAGTGTCCTCGTCGCCTCCAGCGAGGGAGTCGGCTGCCCAGGTGCCCCAGGAAGTCCCTTGCCTCTTTCCTGCTTCTTCCTCCTGTCCTCCTCACCTGCTCTGCTGCAAATCCTGTCCTGGGAAGATTCTGAGACCCTCAGGAGAGGCTCAGGAAGAACTCAGGGTATCTGCAGGGCATTTTGCTTTTAGCTGGGGCCTTGGGACCCTTGTGCAGCCGAATGAAGAAGGAGCTGGAACACGCTTCTCCTTTTCTTGTCCCCTTGTGGGATTCTGTGAGCTGAACTGGTTGGAGTCCTGCAGGGACTGTGACAAGGCTGCATGGGGCCTTTGGAGGTGGGACTTTGTAGGAGGAGGGAGACAGGATGCTGAACGACCCTGGGCCTGTCCTCTTACCTCCCTGAGCCTCTCTTATTGCACCATGGGGGCCACTGCCAGTTAGGATTTTCTTTGTATGACTAGTGTTAATTGTTGTCATTCCTGGTGGGACTTGGGACTGGGAGAGGCCTGACCTCAGTTTGGGGAAGCAGAGGCTGAGAGGGGCTTAGACTGGTGTTTGTAATGGGTTAGTGACAGGCAGTGGGCTGGTGACCAATACTCTGGGATGATTCCTGCAACTTAAAAGCTCAAAAGTAACTACTGGAGATCCAGGAAAAGGCCTTTCTGCTTTCCAGAGCAGAGGCTGTGAGTAGGGGATGTCACACGGTGAGACATGACTGAGGCTGTCATGGGAAGTATTTAAATTTGTCAGCATTCATGTATTTACTCTCCACAGAGGATTTGGAGGAGCTCACAGCAAAAGCCTATTCAGTAAAGAGATAAAACAGAAGCTCAGACGTTGGAGCAGGGAGCACTAGTCAGGGCCAGTGTGCAGGAACTGGGAACAGTGGGGCTCTGATTTGCAGAGGGGCTGCCTTAGGGTTGAGAGGGTATGTGAGAGGGCATACAGGGGTGTCCTCGTTTGCCTAGTGACCATCACTTCCCAGTAGAGGTCAGCTCCAGGGAGCTCAGATCCCCTGTACCCAGCGTAGGGCCCCTTGTTTAAATGCAATAAAAACTTTCTGAATGAATGAATGAAATTTTTCTAACCCTGTTCATAATTGACTGAGGCCCAGAAGGGAGCCATTGGTAGCTTTGGTTTCCCAGGTCCCATGTCCCACATAGGAGGACTCACTGTGGCAGGGTAGGCCCTAGGCTTGGTTCAGTTGAGCAGGACCACGATTCTCTCAGTCCTGCTTACCAGTAGGAATGACAGCTGGCATGCACGGGCTGCTTCTGACATGTGTCTGCTCTTTGTATCCATATCCTGGACTACTCCCATTTTACAGAGGAGGACACTGAGGCCCAGGGAAGTTAAGTGACTGGCCCAGCTAGGAAGGAGCAGAGTTAAGATTAGTCCTCAAGTAGGGCTGACCCCAAAGCTCACACACTCAGCCACCAGACAGCTCTCCTGGTCCTCTGGCCTGCTGCGATCACTTGCGCTGTCCCCTCGCTGTCCAGCGTGTACCAGGTAATTGTGGAGGAGGATCGGCCGCGGCGGCTGCGGCGGGAGCCAGGTGGCCAGGACTGCTTCCCAGTGCCTCTGACCTTCGAGGCAGCGCTGGCTCGTGGCCTAATGCACTACTTTGGGGCCGAACTGGCGGCTAGCAGTCTGCCTGAGGCCATGCCCTTCACCGTGGGTGACAACCAGACCTACCGTGGTTTTTGGAATCCACCACTTGAGCCCAGGAAGGCCTACCTCATCTACTTCCAGGCAGCAAGCCACCTGAAAGGGGTGAGGGACTCATCATGGCAGAGGTGAAGGAGGGTGGGGTGCTGGGTGGAAGGCTGGGGACACCCTGGAGTGGCCCTTCCACAGAGGTCTGAGACCCAGACCCAGACCCTGCCCCTTCCTATAGCCCGGCCTTCTTCCCTTGATTCCTTACCTTCTGGCCTAGTCCTTGTCCCTTCCTGAGGCCTTTCCTTCTGCCTCAGGTGCCTCTGTTACCCAGAGATCATCATCTTAGGTTCCTGCTTTCACATATTGAGGTCTAGGTCTGGCCTCCTCACCAGGCCCCGCCTTCTCTCTGAGACCCTGCCCTATTCTCTAGGTTCCTCCCTCCTCAGATTATTCCTTCCTTGGTGGCTCCTTTCCTGCCAGGCATGTGGACATGGGCCCACCCCCATTCTGGAGGCCCCACTCCCCATTCCTCAGGCCCCACCCCATTCCTCAGGCCCCACCCCCACTCCTCAGGCCCCACCCCTTCCCATGCTGTCTCATCTGATTTTCTTAAGGCACTGCCCTATTTGCAGGCCCCTCCCCCTGGGCCACGCCTCCCTTCCTGCTGGGCAAGAGTATCCTTAGTTTTCATACTAGACGGCACCCTGATTAGGCCTAAGACACTGTGAGGTTCCTGTCCTGGGAGGGTGAGACCTGTTTTCTGTGGTGTTGAGGTCCTTCCCCATCTGTGCTTCCAGGAAACCCGGCTGAACTGCATCCGAATCGCCAGGAAAGGTGAGTCCCTCTGGGTTGTTGAGGCCTGCAGTGGAGGGTTTCTTACCTGTGGCTTTGGGGAGGGGGTCCTGGCCACCCAAGGGCTTTGGGACCACAGCAGGGCAGCAACAGTGGTTCTGAGGTTAGGAAGGACTTCCTTTCTCAAGGAATCCTTCAAGGGTGGGCAGCAGCCAGGGTCCAACTTCCTACCCCTCCCTAAGGTTGCAGAAGGGGCCCTGAAAGGGGCCTGGGACAGACCTGGGGAGAGGGAGCCGTTTTGCTCGGCACTGATTCTGGGTTCTGTATAAGCCTCTTATCCAGTGGGGAGAGGTAGGACCGTGGGGGACCTGCAGGGTAGAGGCTGAACCTCTTCTAGACATGGAATGTGGTTGGTTACCATCCTGAGATGCCCTAACCGCACCATAGGTACATGGCTTTTTCCCCTTCATCACCTTGCAGGAGGGCTGTTTGCCCTGGGTCTGAAGGCCCAGGTGTTCTCCATCGTCTGCTGAAAGTTGGGCAGGATTTGAGGAAGCGGAGAGGGGCAGCTATTGCTGACAGGGGGCAGGATAGGTGAAGACTTGATGAATGTAGAAGGCTCCAGAAACGTCCAGGAGACAGATCTGACCTTGAGGCAGGAGGGGCTGTGGGCTGTGGGTGTGTGTTTGTGCAGCCTGGTCTGTTCCCTGGGGCTCAGATCCCTGCAGGCAGGGCCTGGTGGTCCCAGCTCCCCTCTGACCCTTTGTCCTGCTTTGTTCTCAGCTGCCTGCAAGGAAAGTAAGCGGCCCCTGGAGGTGTCGCAGAGGTCGGAGGAGATGGGCCTCATCCTGGGCATCTGTGCAGGGGGACTTGCTGTCCTCATCCTCCTCCTGGGGGCCATCATTGTCATCATCCGCAAGGGGTGAGTGAGGCCAGCACCCTGGCCCACCAGTGGCTTGTGTCTCTCGAAGGCCTGGTTGGTGCAGAGGAGCTGTGTCTGGGTGTCTGTGGAGGTCAGCCTGGACATCGGGCCTGTAGATGGACTCAAGCGGGATAGTAGGAAGCCTGACACTTGGTAAATGGAGCTGCCCTGGTACAGCATGGCTGGAGTGCAGGTCTGGCTGGTGCCAGGTGCCACTATCTAGGGAAGGCCACTCAGTGCTTAGTGCCAAGGAGCTGTGTTGGAAGACAGCACTGCCTTCTTGTGCCTCTGGGAGCTGTGCCAATAGGAAGGGTGTGGAGGTGACCTGACTTTGAATCCTCAGCCCCCGGCAGACCGTTAGCCAACTCATCTGCCTTGACCATTTTGTTGTGAAGTTGACCCTGAGCATGGGTGTCATGTCCCCTCCCTTTCAAACCAGGGCTTTGAGCCATGGCTTTCCTCAGTACCCCACCTGCCCTGGTCCCTGCTGCAATGGATCCCTGAGTTTTTCTGGGCCCATGGCTCAGAGTGAACCCCACGATCTCCCATCCTACCCGTTTGGGTAGGATGTGTTTCTTAGGGCATTTTGCAGAGGGCCACCTGAGTCCTGGTACATCTTAAAATCTAGAACTTCGAATCTCAGAAATCTAGGATTGGGGATTCTAAGAATCTCAGAAGTTAGAATTCTAGTGGCTCAGAACTCCAGAACAAGAGCTGCTGGGTAATTTAAGGCCGTCTAATCGAGTGGTTTTGAATTTTTTATAACATGCATGCACAACAACAAACAAACAACCCCCCCAAACAAACAAAACTCCCCAACCCTTTGTGTGCTGGGAGCCCAGTACAGAGAGCAGATGAAGGCTGAGTAGCAGCTCTGGTTGGAGGCAGGTGGGGACTCCTGAGACCCCTCTGCTTGCTAGCTCCACCCTGCCTCATTCCCCACGAGTGACCCTAGAACACTGGGGTCCAAGCACCTCAGTAGAAACAGGGATGTGGGGCCCCAGTGGGTAGACCAGCCCAAGGTCACCCAGGGAACCAAAGGCAGAGCCTGCGTTCTCTCTCCCCACCTGGGCTCTGGCTTCCGAAGTCCCTGTTGCTGCCAGGCTGGGCACACATGGGCGAGTTGGCGCTGGATCTCTGGGCTGCCAGGAGCAGATAAGTAGGATCCTGGGAGATGGTGGAGAGCTGGCTAGGGCCACCTTGCCTGAGGCCAGGCACCAGCAGGAGGGAGCAGGGTATGCCAGCAGAGTCGGGTGGGGTGGGGGGTGGCCTATCCAGGGCCGTAAGCTCTGATTTTTATCTTCCTAGTCTCTGCACAGCTTGATGAGACAATATATTTTAAATTTATTATTTAATGAGTAATTACTGTGTGCCAGGAGCTTTACACACACCATCCATTAGCTTGTCAATTATTGAGCACCTATTATGTGCCAGACACTGTTCTGGCATTCAGGGTACATCAGAGAACATTTCCTTCTTGGATCCTGATAAAGGAAGCAGGTCTCACTCCCTTTTTACTGATGAAGAAACCCTAATTAGAGCAATTTGCCCACGTCACTCTGCTCAGTGGCAAGGTTTGATTTGAGCTCAGGCCTGACCAGATATGTGAAGGGCGTCATATCGGGGACCTCACAAGCAGCAAGTCCCTGCAGTTCGCCCCAGCAGGGGGCCTGAGACCCAACTCTAAGTGGGGGCAGGGCTGGGGGTGGAAGAGGCCTGTTCAGTTACAGGTGTTATTTGAGGTCCAAGAAACTACCCTCAAAGGAAAGAGGGTCGGGTATGTGGTGGTATCCAATGCTCCATGCCCCCCACAAATAGAGCATTTGGCTAGGAGGGGGCTGCTCAGAGGTGCTGTCAGGCCTCACTAGGAGACGCACAATTCTGTAATTGGTACCTGACACATCCCCATTTAGCCCCCCCCCCCGCCAGTTTCCTCTAAAAGCCACTCAATAACACACCAAATCCCTGATTCTACTCTGGCCTTGGGCCACTGAGCTCCTCTGTTTACATTGTGGGGCATTATGTAGCAGAGCAGCTCTGGAGGTATGGGGTGTCCAGATCAGCTTGTGCTGTGAATGTGATTGACAGCAGAGGAGGTCACCCACCCCACTCCAAGGCCTGATGTGGCCTTGGGAGAGAGCATAGATTAGGTTCCCAGGTCAGAGTCCTGGGCCAGGTGGGGTCTGCTCTGACTCTGCCATGACTCCCGTGACTCAGCACCTGCTCTGTGCAGCGGGAACCCGCCCTGCTCTGGCTTCTCACCAGGGTGAGCTGCAGGACCTGGGGCTCCTGATCCAAGCTGGGCTTGGGGGCCAGGAGGGGGCGGCCTGGCTCCTTTAAGGGACCCCACCCCAGGGCAGTCGGGGTGGGAGAGGATGGGCCCTGGGTGTGCCCTGTGCTCCTGAGGGATCCTTTCCCCCCTGCCCTCCTGTCTCCAGCTGTCCCTCCTGGCTGAGCTGTGTGTAGAGGGCTCTCCCTCAGGGCCCTGGGCCTGCAGGGGTGAGCTGGGGGCCGCCCTGGGTGAGTGAAGGTGCCGCTGAGTGTGAGTGTGTGAGCATGCGACTGTGAGTGTGTCAGTGTGAGTGCCTGTGTGTGTGTGTACGTGTGTGTCTCACGGGAGTGCCTGTGAGTGTGTGCAGTGTGTGTGTCTCTTTGAGTGTATACACGTGTGATCTGAGTGTACTTAAGTGTGCATGTGCGTGTGCTTAAGTGTGCGTGTGTTCTCCCTGTGTTTGCACATTTGTATGTATGGCCGTGAAGCTGTGCATCCCCCCCTTTGCCCACCGCCCACTCCAGCGGCAGCTTGGGGAAGGTTCTGGAAAGGCCTCTGGTCCTGGTCCACAGCTGGGCCAGCCCTTGGGACAAAGAGGCCCTGGGACCTGTCCAGTCCCTGGCTGGCCCCTGCCCTGCACGGGAAGCCCCTGGGCCTCCCTGCCGCTGGGCATCGCCCCAGCCCGCCTGGTTGCCAGGGCTCAGACCTGGTGCCCTGTTCTCTTTGCACGCTGCCAGGAGAGACCGCTATGCCTACTCCTACTACCCGTAAGTAGCGCACCTGGCCTGAGTCCCTCCAGGGCCTCCCCTCCTCACGGCCCGCCCCCTCTGCTGCCGTCTCCTATTGCATCTCCCTCCTCCAGTCACAGTCCCCACACATGGGTTGTGTAGTCAGTTGGTCACCCTGGGCAAGTCACCTCACCTCTCTGAGCTTTGGTGTCATCTCCACTCTGAGCTGGGCTCTGACCTCCTCCTGGACCTGCTGCTCACCTTGTCTCCCAGCATCTCACTGAGCCTCCAGCTCGGGGGTCACAGGGCTGCTGGCAGGCGGTTCCCCCTCCCTGTGATGTGCACAGATAATCTTGGAACCTAAATGCAGAACTTCTGAAAGTGTCTGTTAAATTCCATCTGCCTAATCTGAGACCAGCCAGAGGCCAACAGAGGGTTCGGGTCCCTCCTGGCTCTGTCTCCTGTGGGTCTGGGGGTTCGTTTCTGTGGCTCTTCTTCCCCATAGGCCAAGAGCCTTGGGCTGGGAACGGAGCCCTGTGCTGCTCCCCTGGAGACGCCTCCAGCCTGTGTCCACGTGTTGGGGCCACTGTTCAGCAGCTTGGCCAGCTGCCTGCTGTCCGTCTGTGTCTGTCTTCCTGTGTTGGCTACTGTCCGGCCTGTCCCTCCCTCTGCGGTCCCCTCTCCCCCTCCTGGCTCTTTTCCTTCACACCCACCCTCCCCCTCATCCTCAGACTCTTCCTCGTCAGGGTGATCAAGATCACAACCACAGAGCCTTCTCACCTGTCCCCAAAGGGCTCTTTGGCACCAACCCTGGGTCAAGTAAGGGTGATGCCCAGAGCCTGGTGTGTGGGGAGGTGGGTCATCTTGTCCGCCTCTGCGCCAGGCAGCTCTTGAGTCCAGGACACGCTGGCTGGAGGTTGCTTTCCCGGAAGGGATTCATGGTCCTCCTTGTCCCCATTGATGGTCAGTGTCTCTGAGCACTTATGACTTGAAAGTCCTTACTCAGGTCTGCGTCACATCCTGCATGCTGTAGCCAAGCTGGCGGGCAGAACTCTCCCCTCCAGCCTTCCCTGAGGCTGGGCCCCGTGGGCTCTTCTCAGCTTCCAGAGGTCCTAAGTTGTTTCCTCATTGCCAGTTTCTTTGTCCTCCTCCATGGAGCTGTGTCCCCTGTCCCCCTGTCCCCCCCGCCCCCGTCCCCCACTTTGCTCCAAGTCCCTCTAGTCACAGACTGCAGTCCCTACCCATGAACCTGGGGCTGAGGGAGGGGCTGCTCCCACTTCTTCCCTCTGCTGCCGTCAGTAGTGGGATGGACTGGTGGATGGGGGGTCTGGACCCCGCTGGGGGGGCCATGGTGGGGCTGTCCCAGGGGCTTCTGGGAGTACGAAGAGCCAAGTTGGAGTTTGCACGTGCAGGGAGACTCCTGAGCTCCTGCTCAGCCACGCCTTGTCCTGCTGGAAGGCACTCCCAGCGCAGGTCCCTCAGGAGAGCATGGCCTCTGGGGCTGGACCTGGCCAGCCTTCCTCCTCATTTGGGTGCCATGTCTTTTGCTGCTACACCATAATAGATCCAGAGGAAGCTTCATATCCATTTCTTGAGAGAGTGAACAGAGTTAGGAACAGGTCCCAGCCACCACTAGTTGCCTTTATCTTAGGGGACAGCAGCTCTTTGGGTCTGGAAAGTGAAAGATGGAGGCAGAGCCCCCTGTGCATCCAGAGATGTGCCTAGGATGGTGCCCCATTCCTGACCTTGTCTCCCTGACTGTTGGGCCTCCGCTCCCCGCTCTGGGGCTGTCCAGCCCCATAGAGTGCCTGTCGTCAACCCCCATCTGCAGGAAGCCAGTGAACATGACCAAGGCCACCGTCAACTACCGCCAGGAGAAGACGCACATGATGAGCGCTGTGGACCGGAGCTTCACAGACCAGAGCACCCTGCAGGAGGACGAGCGGCTGGGCCTGTCCTTCATGGACGCCCCTGGCTACAGCCCCCGGGGTGAGTGTCCGGCCCTTGAGCCCCTCCCCAGGCTGTGGGACTCCCCACCTGAGCCAACAGAATGGTGTCCACCCCACTTCAGATGAGTCGTGAAACTCTCCTCACCACGCCTAGCTTTGATTCCTGCTGGCCACCAGCACTGGCCAGGGGACTCCCAGAAGGCCCTGGGGGTGTGTTTGCACGGTGGACTGGAGGCACTTGCAAGGAGCTCTGCTGGCACAGTAAGGTCCACTGTGACGGACCTTGTCAAGAGGAGATGCTGCTCTGATCAGAGGGGACCAGAGGAGCCTCACCCTCTGTTGAGTCCTGTTGTGTGACAGGAGGGGATCCAGTGGCTGAGAGGGATCCACCCAGACCTGGGCTGGTCTCTTAGATCCCTTTTTTGGTTGTATGCCAACCCTGGGGCAAGTTGCTTACCTCGCTGGTGCACCCGTGTTTTCTCCTGTGTGAAATGCAAATAGGGATGTCTCTGCTGGTGAACAGTTCCCTTCAGGGCAGATATGAAAACTAAATGAGTCAATGTGTGTAAATCATTTAGTGCTGGGTCTGGCTTCAGAGTACAGTGAATTAACTGTTCTGTGCTTCATTTTTTTGTTTTCTGTTTAGCATTGATTCGTATAAAAGAAAATATATAATGCTATGAAAGTCACAAAATCATCATCATACAACAAATACCAGTGAACCCTGCTGGTGAATTAGAACAGGAGTCGGGGATTCCTCCCCAGCTGCCTCACTCTTAGACATACATGATGGCCCTGAAATTTGCATGTATAATTTTCTTGCCTTTTGTGAGTGGTTTTACCTAGGTGTGTGCATGCGTCACCCCGAAATGCATTGTGGATTGTCAGTCATTTTCAAGCTCATAAAAGTGAAGTCTCTCTTTCAGCCTAGCATCATGTTTCTCAGATGTGTACATTTTATTTTTCTCCGATGGATACTTTTTCCATTATACGGCTGTGTCACAGTTGGGTTCTCCATTCTTCCATCCTTGGCTCTAGTTTTCTTGTTATCACAAACGAGGCTGCAGAGGATGTTCTTAGGTGAACCTTGAGGAGCTCTGCATATGTGGTTCTAGAAGCAGAACTGCTGGATTATGGAGTCCGCACTTGTCCAACTTAATGATGGTACCGAGCTGTATCCCAAAGTGTTTTTGCCTGTTTCCACTCCTGGGAGCAGCATCGAAGACTTTGTGGCTCCAGGGCGGGACCAAAATTGCCAGCCTTCTTCGCTTTCCTAGAAACTGGTTTGTATAAAATGGTAATTCTCTGTCATCTTAATTAGCATTTCTCTGATTACTAATGAGGTTGAACATATTTTGAAGTCATTATCGGCCATTCAGGTCTCTTTCGTGAAATGCCTGTTCATATCTTTTACCGAATTTTCTGTTGGTTTTTGTTTGTTGCTTTCTTAGTGGTTTTTAGCAGTTCTTTACATATTTAGGATAATAATCATTTGTCACATATGAATTGCAAATATCTTCTCCCAATTTGTTTCTTATCTTTCTGGGTTATTTATAGTGTCTTTGGATGAACAGAGAGTTTTTATTTTAATGTAGTCAAATTCGTCAGCCTTTCTCTTTGTGATTTTTACTTTTTGTTGTTTTCTTAAATAATTTCTTCCCTAGCCAATGTCATGAAGTTGTTTTGTTTTTTTTTTTAGCTTTTTTTCTCAAAGTTTTAATGTTTTGCATTTCACATTTAAATCTTTATCCATCTGGAATTGATTTGTGTGTGTGGGATGAATTAAGGATTTTCTTTCCTCCAAAGGGAATAATTGGCTGTCCTGACATCATTGCTTTCTTTCTTTTTCCTTTGAGATCCTTTGGGTCTTGCTCCGTTGCCCAGGCCAGTCTTGAACTTGGGCACTCAAGCAATCTTCCCACCTCCATTTCCTGAGTAGCTGGGTCTACAGGAGCATGCCACCATGCCTGGCCCTGCATCAGTTCCTACAGTTCCTACTTTCATTGCTGATTGACAGTGCCACCCTCCTTGTAGATCACATTTCTGTGTGTTCGGGGAGTGGTTTGAGCTCTTTCTCCTCTTTGGGCAATTTGGTGATCCCTGTGCCGAAATCACATGGACTAGAAGTTGTAGCTAAGTCTTTATTTTATTTATTTATTTATTTATTTATTTATTTAGTGAGAGGGAGAGAGAGGGAGGATTTTTAAATATTTATTTATTTTTTAGTTTTCGGTGGACACAACATCTTTATTTTATTTTTATATGGTGCCGAGGATCGAACCCAGCGCCCCGCACATGCCAGGCGAGCGCGCTAACCACTTGAGCCACATCCCCAGCCCTATTGTAACTTAAAAAAAAAAAATTGTAGTTGCAGATGGACAGAATGCCTTTATTTTATTCATTTTTTATGTGGTGCTGAGGATTGAATCCAGGCGTGCGCGCCCCCACCCTCCATCCCGGCTTCTTTGTCTTATTTTAAAGGCAGACTTCTGACATTTGAACCACTGAGAATGAAGTTTTTGCTCTAGGCTTTTACTAGAAATGTTTTATCAGGTTAAAGCTCCCTTTGGTTTTTTGTTTGCTAAGAGGTTTTATTTTAAGTGGACATTAAACTTACCAAAAGTTTTCTCCTGCAGGTATTGGGATATTTTTTTCCTTTCATCTGTTAATGAAGTGACAGTTTTAGATTTTCCTAATGTTAAAATTACCTTAATTTCCTCAGATGAATTCAACTCGATCTGGATGTAGTATAATTTTTTCAGATTGTTGGATTGCATGTACTTATCTTTCAATATTTTAAAGCTGTCTTCCTTGGTAGGGTTGGCCTATAATTTTTCTATTTTTACTTTCCCTGTCTGATTTCCGGCATCAGGATTCTGACCTCCAGCACTATGCTGAATAGAAGTGATGATAGCAGGAGTCTTTGTCTTATTTTAAGGATTTAAAATTTAAAGATTTTGATACCAGAAATGTATTGGGGTCTCTTCTCTTTTTCCTTTATCATGGAATAATTTTCTCCTTGAAAATTTGGTAGAATTCACTTTTTAAAAAAAAAATCTTCAGGCTGGGGTTGTGGCTCAGAGGTAGAGTGCTCGCCTAGCATGTGCAAGGCCCTGGGTTCGATCCTCAGCACCACATAAAAATAAATAAATGAAGTAAAAGTATTGTATCCAACTATAACTAAAAAATAAATATTTAAAAAAATCTATTTTTTTTTTGTTATTTTCTGTATGGAAAGATTTTAAAATTCTAATCAAATTTATTTTAAAGGAGTAAATAGCTATTTAGATTTTTTATTTTTTTAAAGTCACTTGATATGTTGTCTTTGACAGGGAATTTGTCCATTTCATTTAAGTTTTCAAATTCATGGACGCACATTCATTAACCATGTCCTCTTTGTAGTCAGCATCTTGAAATTCTCCCAGCGTTACCCTGATCTCTAGCTATTACCAACCCTGCATCTTACAAATGAGGGAACAGGCTCTGAGAGGGGAAGTCACTTGATTTGGTCACACAGCGGGAAAGTGGCAGAGCCAGGAGGATTTCAATGCAAATCTTCCTGAATTGCAAACTCTTATTTCTGCCGCATCTTGCTGAGCCTTGGGGAATGGGTAGGATTTGGACCGACAGAAGGGGAGGACAGGGCAGGAGTGCTGCATGATGAGGGGCTTGGTGGGGGCTGGGAAGTGTGGGTGGTGTGGACACAGGTCTTGCTGCTTAGTCCTGCCGAGAGATCACAGGGGTGGGAAACTCTGTTCCCCAGGGAAATGACTAGTTGGAAATCAAGAGTGACCCCAGGAGGCCAGGACCGGGTTGGTTGTCTTGAGGAGGGTGGGGACCATTGAAGCTGTCAGGAGTTTTTAGAAGGCACAGGTGGGCTGGTGAGCATTTTGGCTGAGATGGATTTGATGGATGAGGGCTGGGGAGGCACTCAGGTCAGGATGCTGCGGAGTGCAGGCCCAGGGGTGACGGCTGGGAACTGGTGTGGCCAGGAGAGTTCCTTTTCTCTCTTTATCTACATTCTGCCGGCTGGCCCAGCTTCCCCTTTCTTCTTTTCTTTCCCAAGTAGTGGAAGCCAGATATTTATGGCTCAGATTAGAAAACCATGTGGATTTCGACACCCTCCTATGCAGATGTTCAAACGGAAGACTTGGCAACCCTGGGTAAGAGGTAGCAGGCTGGCATGAAGAAGCCAGGTGGGCAGGGGCCCCCGTTGTGTCTGAAATCTGTCCTGTGAAAACCCACAAACCCTTCTGGGCCGTGCCCATCTGGAGCTGTGGACCCCAGTGGGTGCCAGGGGTTCTTGCCAACTGCTTTGCTACACAAGTGCCAGTTTCTTTCATCTGCACAAACGGCCCTTATCAGGGAGAGGGAAACAGAAAAGGCAGGACAGAGTGGGTGACAGGGCCACCGAGGCAGATGGGCCTGGTTCCAAATCCAAGCGCTGCCACTAGGTGAGCAGGTAGCATAACCCTGTTGGGCCTCAGTTTCCTCATTTGCACAAGGGTGATGAAGACAGTGCCTCCGTCCTGGGTGGATCCTAGGTGTGTTAGAAATGATTAGCTGTGATTACAGGCTGTTTCCTCAGTTATTTACTAATTGCGAACAGTGGGGGAAAATTTCTGGATGCTGTCAGATTGTGTAACGGGGGACCTCCTCCATCTGAGGGGGGTGGGAATTAGGGAAAGGGCCCATCTCCAAGGAAGGTCTGAGGATCCTCTTTTCTGGATCAAGAAAAGAGAGGTCAAGGGATTTGAGTCAGAATTAGAATATAGGTCTCTGGCCTCCCAACCCAGCCCTCCCCATTGCATGTACAGAGGTTATGGTGGTTCATAGGGCAGGTTCTCATCCTCCTCCCTCGCTTCCTCCCTCTCAGGGGCTGCCAGGTGTGGACCAGCCCATCCTTGAGGGATGGGGCGAAGGGTGGGGTCAGGAGTGTGCCTTAAATCCCACAGGAGAATTCCTGGGCTGGGAGAATAGAGAGAGGCCTGCTTCTCTGGGCCCAGGAAATGGAGGATCCTTCTGGAAACCTCGTGGTCCACGCTCCCTCCTTTTCTGGTGGTCTTATTTACAGAATGTTGAGTGTTGTTCTTGGGCTCAGCTGTAAACTGTGCGTATTTGGCACTGGCTTCCCATCAGGATGTCAACCAGGTGGCATCTTTTGCTGGTCCTCATCTGTTGTTGTGAGCTGATGGTGGCCTGCTTGTGGGGCTTCGTGGGGGATGCCAGCCCCTCAGGATCTCTGGCATGAACTCCTTGATCCCTGCCACCCACGTTTGCTCCTTCTCACCTGAAGAGCTCTGTGGAGCCTCTGGCTGGGTTTCCCCGGGGAGCACTGAGGCTGCTCTGTCTCATGAATTCCCCGAGTCCTCGGAGCCAGCAGTAGTCTTTCTGGAAATCAGCAGCACACTGTCCTCTGTGTTTGTTGTGGCTGCTCCTTAGAATCCACTTTTCAGGCTGCTTCAGGCCCTGGACCAAGTGACCTCATGTAGAGAAGGACCAAGTCAGCCAGCTGCTCTTGTTTGCTGGGACTTCGGGGCTCTTTCCCTTTCCTGGAAATGACCAGTAGTGCCAACTGCTGCCATGTGCAGTGCCCATCGCGAGCCAGGTGCCGGGCTGGGTGCCTGATGCGCGTCATCGTATTTAATATTTACATCATCATATATTGGGTAGTAGCATTTTTTAATCTTCATCTGAAACATGAAAATGGAAGTTCAGAGAGATTAAGTAAGGGTCCCCAAGGTCACAGGCAGAGCTGGGATTTGATCTGAGATCTGTCTGAATCCAGAGCCCGTCTCTCCATCTCCACATTACACTGTTTCCCTGAGGGTGTTATTACACTGTTTCCCTGAGGGTGTTTCATGAAACAAACAAAAAGCGGCCTGCATGGTGAGAGATGGTTGTGAAACGCTGCTGTTTCCATTCATCTCTCGGAGACTTAAAATGTGCACAAATGTGGAAGCCCTGAGAGGTCTTAGAGGGAAACAAACCTATTTATTTTTGCTTACACCAGAATTGCACAGACTGATTTAAAATACAGAACCCTTCCTCGCCCTCCTTCTCATCTTCTTTTTAATGGAATACCACTTAAACATCTTGCCTCTTTAGTATTTTCTGGAATACATTTTGGCAACTATGACATGAGGCCGGTCTCTTCTCTTTGAACCTCAGTTTCTCAATCTATAAAATCAAGGGTCGGGGCATCTGGCCATGATGGTATCATGGGTACTTGACCTGCCCTCTAGCTGTAAGCAACCAGAAATTCAGATAAAGATATGAAGCAATTGTTTCCAGACACTGGAACTTGAGGTAGCTCAGGACTGATTCTTGAGAGAAGAGAGACAAATAAGGGGAGTCCCCCCCCATTGACTTTCTGTCTGGAGGCCATTTTTAAACCATGGCACAGGAAGGGGGATCAAGCAGAGGGGGCTGCCTCCCTGACCTGAATGGGGCTTGGGGAAGTTAAGGTCATCAGGGGGTCAGACCTCGGGATCCTGCATTTACCCTGCCAGTTAGTGGTGGAGAGGCTCCCCCACGGAGGATCATTTTGGCTGAGACCTGAGGATGAGTAAGTCACCAGCACAAAGAGTAGGGGAGGAGGGGAAGGGCGGAGGGGGGGTGGAGGGACGGGGGGCTTTGGGGGCCGAAGGGGCCCCAGGTGCAAGGGCACAGGGAAGGGAGGCTCCGTCATCTAGATCCCTCCAGGGTCCCTCACAGCTCCTGCCAGCTCAGACCTGCAAAAGAGCTGTGAGAAGTGGAGGGCAGGATTGAGTGAGCCCTGGAGCCTTACCTGGGACAGGAGGGACAGGAGGGACAGGAGGGAGGTGAGCGCCCAGGGAGTGTGCCGAGGAGGGAGGCGCAGTGGTTGCAGATCCTGACCTCCTGAACCAGGGTGGGATGTCCTTGGAGATGCTGACCCAAAGAGCCAGGAGGAGGTGGCCCGGGGAGGGGCGCTGGGGGTGTGGGGCCCCAGGAGCCTCTCACCCCTGCCCCCCTGACTGGATGCCACACCGGCTGACAATGGAAACGCTTGCGCAGGAGAAACGCGAAAACGCGTTTATTCAGGTGTCTCCGTTCATCTGCGCAGGAGGCAGCCGCAGCTCATTCTGATTTGCTTATCTTTGAATGGGGATAATTGCTGGGAGTTGCCAGTGTTCCAGATTGTTCCCTGGTGGAGAGGGAGAAAGAGGGCAGCTGTCAGGGGCTCTGCCGAGCACTCCCCCTGCAGGCCTCATGGTGAAGCCATGTGGGGTGATGTGAGAATGTGGGAAGAGTGGCAGGGGTCACTTGATGTGACCTGCTTATTTCATAACTGGGAGACCTGAGATGCAGATGGGAAGGGACTTGCCCAGTATCACACAGGATGGGCCTAGCGAGGCCTTTTAGTTCCAGGGAACAATCCAGGCATCTTCCATATTGGCCATGTTCCCTGCCCCTGAGTCCACCTGGGGCTCTGAGGCTGGGGCCTGTGCATAGCAGGAACCCCTCTCCTTCCTCTGACCGCAGGAGACCAGCGCAGCATTGGAGTCACCGAGGCCAGCAGCCTCCTGGGGGGCTCACCACGGCGTCCGTGTGGCCGGAAGGGCTCCCCGTACCACACGGGGCAGCTGCACCCTGCAGTGCGGGTGGCCGACCTTCTGCAACACATCAACCAGATGAAGACAGCTGAGGGCTATGGCTTCAAGCAGGAGTACGAGGTGCATACACGGCCCCTGTCCAGCCAGGACCCCTGCCCTGGCCTCCCTGGTCCTCCTCACTGTGGATCCTGACTCTCGCAATCCTCAGCCCAGCCCTGGCTAGACCCCTACTCTGACTGTCTCCAAATCAGCCTAACTCTTTTGACCTTGACCTTGACCCTCAACCTGATTTGAAATCTGACCTTAAATCTCATCTCCCTCTTGGTCCTCTGATCCTTATCCTTCCTCTGATCTGAACCCGCTGTCCTCACTGAGGTTGGCCTAGCTCCAGCCTGAGGGACTGTCATCCCGAGCTCCATGTGAACCCTGCTTTGGATCCCAACCTCCTTCAATCTGGACGACGACACCATCTGTACGCTACCCTTCACCTTTGCCTTCTTCCCAGCTCAAATCTGGATTTGGCCCTTGTTCTGAGCCTGACTTGCGTTCTACACTGTCTGAACTCCGGCCCTTCCCCCTCCTGCCTCATTTCCCTTCCTCCCACACTCCTTGGTTTTGAACCTCATCCTCGCTGATGAAAGAACCTCACGCTCCAAGTGCAGCCCCGAGCTTGGCCCTCATCATGACCCCACTCCATCCTCCCTGTTGAGGAGCAGGGGTCCTGCGAGGCTTGGGGGGTCCTCCACTCCCACTGACAGCCATCTCCCCTTTTGGCAGAGCTTCTTTGAGGGCTGGGACGCCACCAAGAAGAAGGACAAGCTGAAGGGAGGCCGGCAGGAGCCTGTGCCTGCCTGTGAGTCCTGGGGGGAGCTGCGGGGGAGGGAGCTGGAAGGGGAACATGGCCAGGGGGAGCCCTGGGGCAGTGGTGGAGGTGGTAGTGGTCTCGGCCTCCACTTACAAGGGCCTGATACAGCGCTGAGCACTACGCCTGTCACCTCACTCGTCCCTCCCAGTTACCCTGTGAAGTGGGGGACAATATAATTCTCCTTTTACAGGAAACTGAGGCTTGGGGGGTTAAGACCTGCTCAGGCTTGGGCTGGCCGTATACCCCTTGGGCCTCCTGGACTCCACCCCACAGCCTAGACTCTAACCTCTGGCCTGTCCTGCGCACCCTTCCATTCAGTGTCCCCAACCTGCTGGTCAGATCTGAGCCCCTAGATGACCTGGCTGCCCAGGGGTGTTTCCCCCTGCCCTGGCTCTGGGCTCCAGGCACAGCCCTGTCCATCTGCTCTGTGTTTACAGATGACCGGCACCGCGTGAAGCTCCACCCGATGCTGGGAGACCCCAGTGCCGACTACATTAATGCCAACTACATCGACGTGAGTGCCTTGCCCCTGGCCTTGCTCCTGGCCTGGCCCTGCGCACTTCTGGCTGACTGTCCAGGCAGGACAGAAACCTGTCAGGGGGGTTCAGACAGCTGAGTTATGAGCACCCCTGTCTCCAGCGCTCCGAGCTCGGGAGCTCAGAGGAGGGGGAGGACAGAGGGAGGCAGCCTTCAGGATGGCTCCCTGCAGGCTGGAGTTGGCCTGAGAGATGGCAGACAGTGAGACTGAGCGCTGAGGAGGAAGGGTCCCTTCTTGCTGAGGGCCCAAGAGCTTGGGGGTGGGATTCTCACGAGGCACAGTGAGGCTGAAGAGGTAAGCGGGGGCTGGATGGTGGAGGCCTCGAGGGGCAGGCTAAGCAGTTGAACTTTTTCCTAGGGATGCCAGGGAGTTGTGAAAAGTGTTTTGCTTATAATCAAAGTGATATTTAAAGAACTGTAGGGCAGGCTAGGAGCTACAGTTCAGTGGTAGAGTGCTTGCCTAGCATGTAAAAGGCTCTGGGTTCCATCCCAGCCCCACAAAATAAAGAAATAAAAGAACAGTAATGCATGTTTATTGAGCATGTACTATGTGCCAAGCACTTTACATTCAACATTGCATTTTATATGACACCTACAATCACACTACAAAGTAGTTAGTTTTGTGACCTCCCTTTATAGGTGACCAAAGTAGGATTCAAAGAGGTGAAACTGCTGGTCCTAGGTCATATAGCTAGTGAGTGCTAAAGAAAAAACTGAACTCAGTGTCTCTGTGTCTCTAGAGGCTTTGCTCCCAGCCATTAGGCTATCGCAACCTCTACTGCAGTAGTTGGAACTTGCTGGATTAGAGGGAAGAGCCAGAGACAGGGCGGGCAGCCAGGAGTCCTGACCATGGGTGTCAAGAAGAGGTCTTGAGTCTGCTCAGTGGGTATGGCTGAGGGAGGTAATGGGGGAGGCCCAGGGACTCTAATCAGGCTCCCCCGCCCCCTGCAGCAAACCAAGCTTGTGAGAGCATTATTTATTCATTTATGGAAATATACAAAATACATTTTGAGTACCTGAGCACCAGGGGTACACATGTGAACCAGACAGGCACAGTCCCTGTTGTCCTTGAACACGCATGTTCTAGTGGGGGAGGCCAGTGAACGTGTAGACAAGTACAATAACTTCAGATTGGATGGAGAGGACGGGCCAGAAGAGAGGAGGGCCTTTCCCAGGGGCAGGCTGCGTGGAGGAAGCCGGGCTGGAGCTCCTCTGGGCGGCTAGAGCGGAATCCCAGGCAGGGAGCATGAGGACGAGGCCCAAGGAGCAGAGTGTCATGGGAGCCGAGGTAGTTGGGACTCCAGACACCGTCTCTCCTCTCCCTCTTCTGTCTTCCTCCTGGGGTCAGACGGGCCACCCTTTGCTTCCCAGAATCCCTTGCCTTCTCCCCATCTCCTAGCCTGTCCCTTGGCTGGGATAAGTGCTGGGCCTGACCTGGCAGATGTGGGCAGCTTCCATAACAGAGAGCCTGTCCTCAGCCATGTCAGGGTCCCAGCTGGCTTCTCTTGGGCCCTAGCAGGGACATGCCACTCCCACCTCTCTGGCCCAGCCTGGCCCACCCATCTCTGCTCTGCCTCTCCTGCTCACGTAGACCTTTCTGGCCACTCCTGTGCCGGCCGGGCCCACCTTCTCTGCCTCTGGCCTAACATCTGTCTCTTTTGCTTTGTCCTGTTCCCTCACTGGAATCATTAAGATTCGGATAAACCGAGAAGTAAGTATCTCCCCCTCCTCCTGCTTCTCCTCCTGTCTGTCTGACTGGCTGTATCTCAGACTTTGTCTCTGGCTCTCTCTCCCGCCTCCTTCCCCTCTCCTTGTGTGCCCAGCACCAGTGTCCACTTCAGCCGCCTCGCCAGGGGTGGCCCAGGGCTAAAGACAGCCACAGGGTCCCTGTTGTAAGCAGCTCCTCCCCCACTTTGAGATAGGCAGCAGTATTGGGGTGCTTCACCTGGCCCTCTGCTCTGGCCACCCCTGTCTGTCACCTTTGTCCTCAACCCTGTCCCCTATTCCCCATGAACCTTGCTGGCTGTACCTTCTGCAGGGCCCTTGAGAGAGGGGGATGGGGGAAGCTACCCTGGGTGGTCTTGTCTCTGCTACTTAGGGGTCAGGGTCTTTAGACTGTTCTTGTTCAGTCCCCCTAAAACTATATTCCTGAGCGTTCAAACCCTGCCATGATCAGTTTGTGTAAAACTCAACTCCAACCAGTTTGCCCTCAATGTTTTTTTAGGGGAGTAGTTGGGTATTCATTAAAAAAAAATTGTACCATCTTCTTTTGGAGAATTAAAACCCTGATTCATCAAGGGAGCCTCTGATTTTATTTTTAATTCATATATTCTATTTTCATTATATTTAATGATTGGGATTCTTTGCTATTTTGAGGATACCTCTTTTATTTTCCTTTAAAAAACACATTTCTTGCTTTTTTTTAATCATTGCTAACATTCTGCTTGTTATCAGACTTTCAGACGATGTGGAGAGACGACATAGAAAGTGAAAGGTCCCCACAGTCACATTTGGCAGAGATGATCGATCATCCCAGATGTACCCCTTATTTTAAGTGCAGTCACAGAGTGGGTTTGTAAAATTCTCCAATTTGGAAGAAGGATTAGGCTCACAAAAGGTGGCGGCTTTGAGGACTGTGGGCGCGCCCTGCGGTGGAGTGCCTGCCCCATTCTGTCCCTTGTTGTCAGACCCTTAGGAGGACTTAGCTTAGTTCATCTCACAATGCCGGATTGCAACCGTGTCACTGACCGGGAACCTGCTGTGTGCCAGGCACTTTAAATACATGTTTTACCTTTACCGCACTCTGTGAGGTGGGGACCCTACTGACGAGCATTTGACAGATGAAAAAAAAGTGACTTGCTCAAAGCCAAAATCCAACCTTAGCCCTCAACCCTCACACCACACTGTTTGTTGTTGTTTTTAATCCAGGGTTGCTTAACCACTGAGCCACATCCCCAGCCCTTTTTATTTTATTTTTTTCATACTGGGGATTGAACCCAGGACCACTTGACCACTGAGCCACCTCCCCAGCCCTATTTTGTATTTTATTTAGAGACAGGGTCTCACTGAGTTGCTTAGTGCCTCCCCATTGCTGAGGCTGGCTTTGAACTTGCAATCCTCCTGCCTCAGCCTCCCGAGCCTTTGGGATTCCAGGCACGTGCCCTGCACCTGGCCAGCCGTTTTTATTTTGAGACAGGGTCTCACTAAGTTGCTTAGGGCCTCATGTTTAGTTGCTGAGGCTGGCTTTGAACTTGTAATCTTCCTGCCTCAGCCTCCTAAGTCTCTGGGATTACAGGTGTGTACCACCATATCCGGCCACACTGCAGTTCTTGTTCTTTGGGGAGCATTGGGATGCCAGGGGTTCTTGCCTATAATGCAGATAAGTGTCCCTCAGACTCCAGCAAGGGTTCAGGTGTGTGACTAGGAGAGGTTCCCAGGCCCTGCGCATCTTCCTGGAGCATGGGGCGGGTGCTCTCTAATGCTGGTCTCTAAGGAGGGTTGGTGCGAGGTATTCTACTCAGCCTCCTTTAAAATTTGATAAGTTTAAACTTCCATGTGTGTCCTCTCTGTCACATAATGGTGCAATAGTATACATGCATTTAAAAAGATAATGTGCAGGGCTGGGGATGTGGCTCAGTGGCAGAGCACTTGCCTTGCATGTATGAGGCCCTGGGTTCGATCCTCAGCACCACATAAAAATAAATAAATAAAATAAAGGCATTGTGTCCAACTATAACTAATTTTTTTTTTTAAGATAATGTGCAGATATGGAGGTTGTTTGCTTAAACACTTGCTTCAAAGTGTGACAAAATGGACCCCTGGACCATGCTTTCTTCAGAATGATGCCTCCAAACATCAAGAGAGAAGGTCCTGGGGGTTCAGCAGAACAGAGCTGAATTTTAGACCAGCTGCTTATTTGTCAAATTGATCTTTTTTTTTTTTGGAAGCAGTGCCAGGGATAGAACTCAAGGTCTCGTGCTCTACCCCTGAGCCACATCCCCAGTCCAGTTGGTCAGTTTTAGTTGAGTTCTGTTCCTCTGTTATCTACTGACTGGTGCTTGAGCACTGGCCTGTCCTGGGCCCTGGGGTGCAGTATTCAGAGGTGGCTGAATCTGATGAGGTGTCTGGCCTTGGGGGGACCCTGATTTGAGGTGGGATAGGCTGTTTCCACTTGGCTGGTGCCGAGAGTGGGAGGGCAGCCCCTGGACAGCCCTCATCCTCCTCCACCTGCCTCTTCTGGCCTCTTATAGAAACAGTGGCTTAGAGCGGCAGCAGGAGGGATTTAGGGTAGACCTGGAGAGGCTGCCATTGTGAGGACTGAGTGACCCTTTTCAGTACTAGTTACTTTGGGTTTTGTTCCTTTTCATAGAAGGTAACAACTGCATCTGAGCACATGTCTTGCTGTTGGCCTCCTATTGCAGAGGAGAACGGTGGCTTAGCAATGTGTGAGGCACTGGGTTTGATCTTAGCACCACATAAACATAAACAAAATAAAGGCCTGCTGTCCATTTCCAACTGCAAAAAAAAAAAAAAAAAGTTGAGAGCCTGGCTGCTCCTCAGGGTGCTCGAGGCCCTGCAGTATCAGGACCCTCAGGAGCTGGTTGGCAATGCTCAGTCCCAGGCCCCAGCTCAGACCTTCTGAATCCCAGTCTGCCTTTTCCCAAGATCTCCAGGACAGAAGTCCCCTCCTGGGGTTCAGAGTCTCACAGCTACTGCTTGGCAGAGCTACAGCTGGGAACTGGGCCCATTAGACTCCCAGACTTGGATCCTTAGCCCTACAGTAAAGAACCTCCCACTTGAGCAGTTCTTGACATTGACACTGTTGGATCTTCAGGGACACTGCTGGATCTTTACATCAGTAGTAGTAGCATAAGAGCAACTATTAAGTGTGGACTTGGTGCTTGACACAGTGCCAAACACTCAACATTGATTGCTTTATTTTCTCCTCAGGACTGCCCTGGGAGGGAAGTAGTGTGGCCATTCCACCCTACGGGTGTGGACTTGGAGGCACAGCGGGGTGAAGGGCTGTTGGCTTCAGTGCATGCAGTTAGAAAGAGGTGGAGCTGGGATTTGAACCTGGGCAGTCTGGCCCAGGGCTTCTTGGGCCTGGGAAGTCCAGGGGGCCAGAAGAGTTAGTTGCAGCGAGCTGGGGACAAGGGGGGAGCAGGGGCTGAACTTGATGGTTTTCTCTCTCCTGCCCTGCAGTACTTCTTCCCTTTTCTGCTCTGCCTGCACTGGTGCCCTGGGTATTGGGTGGGCTCTCTGTCCCAGAAAGATGAGGGCCTGTCGGGGACCCTCAGGCTACTGGGGCCTCTCCTTAGCCCAGGGCTCTGGGGATGCAGGATGAAGTAGCCCTTGACCTCTCTTTGTTCAGGTGAAGTGCTTAGTATGTAGCCATAAGAGAGTCTCAGAAAAGTTCATTGCTATCATTGTAATTGCTTTTAAAGATTTGAGCAATTTATCTAAGAGCCATTTGCTTCCAAACCTGAAGCCTTCATCAGGTCCCCCTGAGCTGGGTGACTGAGGTGGGGGCGGGGCCTCATGGCTGAGGACCGTCTATCCTGAATGCCCTGAGGGGGGTTGGAAGAGCTGACACCTTTGGGGTCTAGGGTTGATTAGGGCTTCTGGGACTCTGGGAACAGGGCAGAGTCACCTTGAACTTTTTCTCCAAATATCAGCCTCATTTTAAACAGATACCCCCCCCCCCCCACTTTGTGAATTGGGAGACCCTCCAGGCCCACAAGGGAGTCATGTCCTCTCTAGGGGTCACACAGCAAGCTGCTGATGTCCCACTTGTATTCCCTTCCTTGGGGACAGGAGGACAAGCTTACCCTGTTCAGGAGGCCCTGGCCATGAGTGTGGGCAGTTCCTCAGTGGGGTAGGGGTGCTGCTGGGGGAGAGGAGGAGGGGCTGAGCATTAGGAGCTGCTCCCTGGGGTCTTACCACACCCTCTTCTGTTGCAGGGTTACCACAGGTCAAACCACTTCATAGCCACACAAGGTACCCGGCCCCTCTGCCCGTGGGCGCCTCCCTGTGTTGGAATGCCTGCCTGTCTGCCTTCCCTGGTGACCTGCTTGGCTCCCTGTCTGCTTCCCCATGTGTCTCTGTCCTGTGTCTTATCCCCACTCTCTTTGCCTTGGCCTGTTAGCATCTGTCTCTCAGCCTCTGTCCTCTCTGTGTTCATATTTCCTGATGTGATCAGTTTATCTGTAATTCTGGTCCATCTGTCTGTCTCCATGGTGGTATGCGTGAAAGGGCTGGGCAGGCCCAGTCCTGGTGGGTGTGGGTTGTGCATCTGGTGTAGTGGCCTCCTGGGTCCCGTTTGGCTGAGTCTTATCCCCCTGTCGATTCGTCCATCCTTCTTGGAGACTTGCCCCATGGACCAAAGATCTGCCCTCCAGCTCTGCTTCCTGGGTCCCAGTCAGCATGATGGGGCTCTCCAGCCAGGCCCTCCCCTGATGCTGCCCACCCCCGGGCCCTCCAGGCATGAGTTGGCAGCTGCTGGGTGTATGTGGGTGAGCATGAAGCCCTCAGTGGAGCCCAGAGAGCCTCCTGGCCTGGGGCAGCAGTGCTGGGCAACAGGCAGACACTTGGCTCAGGGACAGGCACCTTCTGCACCCCCAGGGCCAAAGCCCGAGATGATCTATGACTTCTGGCGCATGGTGTGGCAGGAGCACTGCTCAAGCATCGTCATGATCACCAAGCTGGTGGAGGTGGGCAGGGTAAGCAGGGCTGGAGGTGGACTGGGGTGGGTGGGCCCTGGGGCAGTGAGGGGTCCACTGAGTCCTGTCCTGTGGGGGCTGCAGGTAAAGTGCTCACGGTATTGGCCAGAGGACTCAGACATGTACGGGGACATCAAGATCACACTGGTGAAGACGGAGACGCTGGCTGAGTACGTGGTGCGCACCTTTGCCCTGGAGAGGGTGAGTCTCCCCACACCTGTTCCTGTAGCCCAGGGAGCGGGAGGGGTGCCCAGGGCAGCACCTGGCAGGAGGCCACCTGCTTTCTGGGAGAATTGTGGGAGATGGAAGGCAACTGACTTTGCGGGTGGCTCCAAGAGGAGTTTGAGATGATGGAGACAATGATGACGGCTGCCTGGTGTTGGTCCTACCCTCTGGGGCACTGTGGCCAGCCTGTCACATGTTAGTGCAGCCCTGGAAAGCTCTGTGGCCTAGGTGCTGACCATTAGCTCCATTTTACAGGTAAGGAAAGTGAGGCTTAGGTGACTGGCCAGTAAGCCCTGTCCACAGTCCAGTAAGCCCTGTCCACAGTCCAGTTGTCTGCCCAGTAAAATCCTTAGGGGAGGGACAGTTTCCCCCTTGGAAGGAAGGCCTGAGATTCAAAATGATCTGGGTTTACACGACAGGCCCGTGTTTTAACAGTGTCGGTGTAAATATCAGGCAGAGCTCTGTCCAAGTGCTGTGTGACATCTGCCTGTCCATCGTTGGGAAGGAGGCTTCTCCTCCATGGGCCTCAGTTCCCTCTCTGGTACAATGGATGTTTATCCCTTCCTCTCCAGTACCGAACCTCACCTGTGAACACGAGGAGGCGCTCCCCACAGTGCCTGGCACATGCAGTATCTTTCAGAGGCTGCCAGCGACTGTGACTGTCCTTCCCATTGTCTCCACAGAGGGGCTACTCTGCCCGGCATGAGGTCCGCCAGTTCCACTTCACAGCATGGCCAGAGCACGGTGTCCCCTACCATGCCACCGGGCTGCTGGCCTTTATCCGGCGCGTGAAGGCCTCCACCCCACCCGATGCCGGGCCCATCGTCATCCACTGCAGGTGGGAGGGCCAGGGGGTCCCGGGAAGGGGTTTGGTGCTGTGCTGGGGTGGGGTGGAGTAGGCAGGCTCAGGGCCCCCAAGAGGGACTGGGCCTGGCTCAGCCTGCTTGGAGATGGGGCAGAAGAGAATAACCCACTTTATCTTTGAGTTTTGGCTTGAGGTTGGCATCCACATGTGCCACAAGACCTGTGTGATGCTGAGGAGGTCCTGAGCCCTGAGGGGCCGCAGGGGTGGTGGCACAGCACCAGGCTCAGTCAGTCCAGCCCGCTCCTGCCCATCAGGTGTTCTGGGTTTGCAGGGGCTGAGAGGACTTCAGCCCTTCTCCCCTACCCACAGTGGGCCTTGCATGTCCCTGGCTTCCCTCCATAGCTCTTGCCTGGTTGTCTTCCTGTGACCCCGACTGTCCTTCCTCTCTCTGCTGTGTCCTCCGTCCCTCCACTAGCCCTTGGGCTTCAGCGAGTCTCTTGAAGCTGCAAATCCATGGCCTCTAGAGCTAGTCCTGGCTCCTCAGCTTCCCCAGTGTCATGACAGACTCTTTTCTGTCCCTGCCCTGCCTCCTCCAAGCCAGCTTCTTAGTTTTCTTTGTATGTCTTTAAGATGTCATCTTTAAAATCTAAGACTTTATGGATAGATACTTAAAGCAAAGTATACTTAGATCTAAAATCATTAAATGTACCTGGAACGTTGTGAATTTTCACAGACTGAACACACTGGTCGCTCCACTCAGATCAAGAAGCAGAATATCCATAGAACCCAGAGGCCCCTTAACCCAGTTCTAGAATGTACTCACCTTCCAGAGCCATCACTGGCCTGACTTCTCAGCCCTGGTCTTGTGTTTGAACTTGACATAAATAGAGTCCTGCACAGGTGCTCTTTGCTGACGTCTTCAGTCCATCTCATGTTTGTAGGTTGTATCCTTTTCTTCTGGGCGAGTCGGCTACGACATATTCGTCCATCCTGCTGTTGCCAGGCCTTTGGGGTGGTTGCAGTTTTGAGCTGTTAGGAATAGCGGTGCTAAAATAAAACAGCAGTGCTAAGGACAACCGAGTGCATGTCTTTTGGTCAAGAAATACAAGCATTTCTGTGGGATCGTATGTAGGAGTAGAAACGCCGTCTGTGTGAACGTTCAGCTTTAGCAGAATCTGCCAAGTAGTTTTCCCAAGGGGTTGTGCTGACTTAAGGCCCTTCCAGCAGGGGACAGGATAGGGAGTCATTGTATGTCCTCCCTGACACTTCAATGCCACCATTTTCAGATGTGAAATCTTAATGTCATCTTTGTACCTGCTCCCCCTTAGCTCTGGTGCTGGGCACACGGGTCACAGTGATGAACCCAACACAGCCCAGCTCTCAGTGAGCTCCCAGGGGTTAGGGAGGCAGCCACAACCACCACGACTATGTGGCTGGAAGTGTTTTCATGAAGCCAGGAGGCAGATGGCTCCAGAGGCTCAGAAGAATGACACCTGCCTGGAAGCGATGGAGGTCCCTAGCTCTTGCCTGGTTGTCTTCCTGTGATGAGTATGAGCTGTGGGGTTTTGAGGGATGTGCAGGAGAGCTGGGGACACCAGGAGGAAAGAACATTCTTGGAGTGAGCTCTGACATCATCTTTGTCTAATTGCAAAGTTGGACTGGCTTCACCTCTGCCTCTCCCTCTCCTTTCCCCTCCGCTCCTTCTCCTGAGGCCCCTCTCCAACTCTGTCCCCTGTCACAAGGCACCAGAGCTCTTCCAGCAGCCTGCTCCCTGGTGCCTCCTTGCTGGGTCATTTCTCTCTGGGCTCCAGCTCCTCTCTCCCGTCTTTTCCTTGGTCCTGGGTTCCCTTCCCTGACGTGCCCTGGGGCCTCTCTCTCCCCAGCGCTGGCACTGGCCGCACAGGTTGTTACATCGTCCTGGATGTGATGCTGGACATGGCGGAGTGTGAGGGTGTCGTGGACATTTACAACTGCGTGAAGACCCTCTGCTCCCGGCGCGTCAACATGATCCAGACCGAGGTGCGGGGACCCCACCCTGTCCCCACCACTGCCTCTGGGACCTGGATCTCTTACAAGGAGCTCAGGGAGGGGGGCATGTGTCTGAAGGTGTCCTTGGGCTCTTCCCTTCCCCAGGTGGTCTGGCGAGGTGAGCTGCGCACCTCTTAGCATCCCTCAAACTCAGCCCCTAGAGCTGGGTGTGGGGGTCAAACAGCAAAGGGTGCTGAAGTCAGGACATACCCGGGTTTGTGTCCTCACTAGATCTGTGACCTTGGGCTGTCCCCTCACCTCTCAGAGGATCTCCCAGGGTGTTATGGGGATGCAGTGTGAGATGAGCTAGCAGGTCCGTGAAGGCTGCTTAGGTAGGACTGGACTCCGCCTTAGAGTCCTGCCTCAGCCTCGTGCTCACTGAGGCCCTCTCTCCTGCACATCCCCAGCTTCTGGTCCTCTGCTCGTCTCATGTTCTCATCTGCTGTTCCAGGAGCAGTACATCTTCATCCATGATGCAATCCTGGAGGCCTGCCTGTGTGGGGAGACCACCATCCCTGTCAACGAGTTCAAGGCCACGTACAAGGAGATGATCCGCATTGACCCTCAGAGCAATTCCTCCCAGCTGCGGGAAGAGTTCCAGGTGGGGGGACGGAGGCGTGTGTGCGTGCTGGGAGGTTCTGAGTACCATAGGCCTTGAGGACCAAGCAGGAGGGCCCAGCTAGACACACAGGTGGAGGGGAAGAGTTGGGTTACTAGGAAGGACTCTGAGACAGTGGAGGAGTGGTGCCTCAGCATAGTTAAGCGCTCATGCTTCAAAGTCAGATAAACCTGGGGTCATATCCTGGCTTGACTAGTTGGGTGCTGTGAGTGGTCTTGAACAAGTCACTTCACTTCTTTAAACCTCCAGTTTTTTGCCCAGAGAAGAAAGATAGTTGACATTGCCCTTGTAGCATTTGTAGTCATCAGGATTCTTTTGGTTGTGATAAAAATCCAGCTCACTGACTCCTGTAACTGGAGACCCTGAGGGTGGTGTAGATTCAGTTATGGCTGGATCCAGGGGCTCAGACGATGATGTCCTTTGGTCTCGGTCCACTCTTGGTTCTACTCTCCTGTTCTTGGCTTCATTCTCAGACCCACAGCCGGCACTCGGCAGTGCCAGGATCATGTCAGTCTTGTCAGGGACTCTGGAAAAAGACCCTTGCTGCTTCCAACAGCCCCAACGAAAACCCTAGACCCAACTCTTGTGCTTCCATGCCTGAACTGGGATCAGGAGGTGGAGCACACTGATGGGCCCGGCTTTGGTTGCCTGATTCTGCATCATCATGCTGTATGGCTGAGAGCAGGGAAGGCCTATTGCCTATTTCTAGAGCAGTCTCCTGGTCCCCAGGCAGGCAGTGAGTCCAGTGTCCTCCCTCTCCAGGGATCTTAGCAGGTATAGCTGGACCTCACATGCCAGGTGCCAGGGCTCTAGAGCCACCTGGGTGACCTCACAGGAAATGCTGCTGGCCATGCCTGGAGAAGGGTGTCAAGCTCGAGGATCAAGATAGGGTTGGGTTCCCTGTGAGGGGTCCCCAAACAAGAGAAAGAGGCGGGAGACCTGCAGATCTAGATGCACAAGGCCTGCAGGCAGAGGGGTGGCTTTATTCAGTACCAGGTGCTCAGGACTTGTGTCCTGTGACCAAGGACAGTGGCCACCTCGGCCTGGCACCTTAATCTGCTTTATGGGAGCAAGGGTTTTAGGGCCTGTCGCATTGCAGCCCTGCCAGGCCAGTGCCGGTCCTCATTGCTCCTACACATTGGTCTGCTGAGCTGCGCTCTGCCCTGTGCTCGGCCTGCTCTCACTTTTTCCTCCCAGCAGCCCCTGGAAGGAGGCATATTATTTTCCTATTTTACAGTTGAGGAAAACTGAGGCCGAGAGCTACAGTAGTTGTCGGGGTTACGTGAACGGCAGGGGGACAGACTCCGCTCTCCAGAGCTCAGCCCAGGCCCTGCCCAGCCAGGCCTCCATTCCTGTCCCTTCTCGCTAGACCTCAGTGTCTCTGTCCACCAAATGGGGTTAACCGCCCTGCCCAGTGTCCACCCTGCTCTTTGTAGACGCTGAACTCTGTCACGCCGCCGCTGGACGTGGAGGAGTGCAGCATCGCGCTGCTACCCCGGAACCGCGACAAGAACCGCAGCATGGACGTCCTGCCGCCGGACCGCTGCCTGCCCTTCCTCATCTCCACCGACGGGGACCCCAATAACTACATCAACGCAGCCCTGACTGATGTGAGAGCTCGGGGGTGCGGCGGGCTCCGGAACTCCCCCTCCCAGCAGCATCTGGAAAAGTCCAGGGAGCAGAGGGAGGGCTCTGCCTATTGAGGGCTCGGGTTGAGGGCACCCTCTGCCTATTGAGGGCTCAGGGGGCAGCCCTCCTACCTCTGCTGACCTTCCTCAGGACGTTGTCCAAGCCAGTGACCCCCTCAGGTGTTGCTCTCAGCACGCGTGGGCTCTGGGTTGTGAAGCCCAGGTGGGGCTGTCTTCAGGATCCAGCCCGCAGGGGCCTTGGCTGGGGATGCCTTGAAGGGTTTGGGGCTGGACTGGGAGACGGGAGAGCGTGTCCTGGAAGGTGCAGCTGGACCCTGCTCCCAGTACCTGGTCTGCAGTGGGGACGGGTTCCCTGGTCTTACCTGGCAGTGTTGTCTGAGGGCTCGGGAACCATTTAGAAGTCCCTTTTCTTGCCCCGCCATCCCCACTCAGGGGGCTGCACCTCCTTTCCTCTCCTTTCCTCTCCTCGCTGGAGCCAGCCGAGAGGCAGATGGGTAGAGAGTCAGGTGTTGCAGATGAGACTAGAGAACATGACTTCACGTTTGTGGTCACATGGGCTGGGTGTGCCCTTGCCTGTCAGCTTGTCTTCGGCTGTACACACACAGGCCACCCCTCCCATTAGGGACAGGCCATCATGTTTGGCAGGGGTCAGTGGCTGTGTCATGTCTTCCAAGAGGAGGGGGCTGAGCTGAGCAAACCTGCCCGGGGAGGAGTGAGCAAAGGGGGGCCACCCGGACATGGAGACCAGAGTCGGGGAGCAGAGGGTCCCCTGCAGGCCCAGGGAGGTGTGCTCTTGATTGTGGTGTGAAATCTCTGTTCTCTTGACCCTTGCATTTGCGGGGCAGGACAATCAGTAAATGAATATACAGTGGAACGTCATGCACTGGAACTTTCTACAGAGAACACCAGGCAGGAGCATTGAATGTTGGTTTGTGTGTGTGAGCATTTTTGATGAGGTGGCAAGGGAGGGCTTCTTTGAAGAGGTGAGTTCAGCAAAGACCAGAAAGAAATGAGGGAGAGAGCCATGCAGACATTTGGGAAATCGGGCGAGGTAGCAGGTGCAGACGCTGAGGCCGGGCCAGCTGGCTCCACCCTGGGGATCGTTTGCTGTTTTAGTTTGTGGGGGATCTGGGCACTAGAGGCCTGGGGCCCACCTGTCAGCTCAGGCCTCAGTGTGCCGGGCAGCCTCTGACGTGGCCACTGCAGGTGCAGGAAGACGGCCTATGGCAGAGCTCAGCCCACTCCAGGGGCAGGGAACTGCCTACTGAGTGCTGGTGTCCCTGCAGAGCTACACGCGGAGTGCGGCCTTCATCGTGACCCTGCACCCCCTGCAGAGCACCACCCCCGACTTCTGGCGCCTGGTCTACGACTACGGGTGCACCTCCATCGTCATGCTCAACCAGCTGAACCAGTCCAACTCCGCCTGGGTGAGGGCCCCCGCTGGCCAAGGCCTTCATGGGTTCAAGGTCACGGTCCCCCAAAGCAAGAGTTGGGGCCCAGCTGCACCACATGTTGTTGTGTGACCTCAGTTCAGTCATACTCTGTCCTAGAGCCTCCGTTTCCTTGTCTGTAAAACAGGGGTGTCAGACTGGAGCAAAACAGCTGCTTTTTATGGAGTACCCCAGTAAGTGCAGACTCTGCTTTGCACTTATGGTCTCATTTATGACCGACAATGACCTTGGGGTGGGGATATTTCCAAGGTCACATAACTGGGAGCTGTGCCTCCCATCCTGCCTCATTCAGAGGTTTTTCCAGGAAGTTTATCAGTATCTCAACTAAACTGCCAGACAGGGGGCCTTTGGCTAGAGTAAAATTCAAGCCTCCGATTTCTTGATGGTTTGACCTACAGTCACTTAATTTACTTCTTTGAGCCTTAGTTTCCTTCTCTGTAAAATGGAGACCATCACAGGAACTTTTATTATAGGGCACTGTGCTGTGTCTGCCTGTGTGGGCACGCTGAATGTGGCAGGGATGAATATGAACAGGTGACAGTTGATTCTGAGGTTGGCCAGACACTGGCTTGGTGATCTCAGCCTGGTGATGGCCCCTTTCACTCTCCCCATTTCCTGTTGGGACTCCCAGAGCTGGAGCCTCTGTAAGTACAGATGCCCAGCCTTCTTACCTGGTTTGATCACATGCCCTAGGACTTTGGACCTCCTTACAGTCCCCACTTTCTGCCCCAGGATGTCAGGAAGACTTTTTGTAAAATAAGCACGATGGCCTCCTACTGATGATGTGGAGGAAGACTGTAGCTGGCTGTCCCCCGCTGCCCCGCCCTCAGCAAGGTACTGGGGATTAAACCCAGGCACATGCTAGGCAAGTGTTTTATTACTGAGCTACACCCGCTACCATTTTATTTTTTATTTTGAGACAGGGTTTTATTAAGTTGCCCAGCCTGGCCTCCAAATTACGATCCTCCTGCCTCAGCCCCCTGAGTAGCTGGGATTACAGGTGTGTGCCACTGTGCCTGGCTAGCTGGGCTCTTTGTGAGTCAGGCTCTTGGCTACATGACAGGACCCTGCAGGGAAGGGACCTAGGCCCAGGGTGGGGATCTGGAGAGTCCCAGGTGTGGCAGGGCAGACATCTATCTTTGCCAAGATGGGGGACAGGGACTGAGAGGGACCTCGTAGACTTTGCTCATTGCTCATCAGATTGCTCAGGTGTTCAGCCAACTTTTCCCAGGGACAGCTCCCTGCCAGTGGGCAGACAGAGGACTCAGCATCTCCTAGATCTCGTGGCCCAGGAGGAAGCAGGTCGAGAAACAGATAGTGATGGCCCAGAGGAGAAAGGCTATTGTGGAGCTGGCACGAGACTCAGGCCTGGGGACAGCGTGTGAGGAGGGCTTCCCAGAGCAGGGAGTGTCCTGGTCAAGATGTGGGGGAGGGTAGTGTTCTTCGGGTGAAGCAGTGGGAAGAGCCATCCCTGGGGAGGGAGTAGTAGTTCGAGGAGTTGCTGGGGCCCCAGGTAGAGGGAGGAAGGCAGGGTCTTGTCTTGGTGGTCAGAGGGAAGCCAGTGGAACTTGGCGTGTCATTTGGGATGCATTTAGGGGCCAGCCTCAGTAGTGACGGTATCCTCAGCATCTCTGTCCCTGACACATGCTGAGTATCTGCCTTATGCCAGACATAGCACAGTGCAGAGTGTTCTTATGCTCCTTTCCCATGGTCCTCATGAGAATAGGTCCTGTGATGGTCCCTGTTTTACAGAGAAGGAAACTGAGGCTCAGGGAGGTAAGTGATCTTAGCCTGGTTTCACAGATGGAAGGGAAGATCCTCTCCTGGGTTCCAGGCAGAGAGGAGCTAGACCCCGGGGCTCCTGGCCGATCCGCCTATATTCTGTGTGTATGGAGGCGGGGGACAGGTGCCTCCCCTGCCTCCAGTCTGTGGTCTGGCGGGGGCAGCTGTGTAGCACCCTGACTCTGTGGGGCCCTGGGGCAGGGGTGCGGTGCTGAGCCCTGTTGCAGCATGAGGGATACCCCACCTCTGAGCTGAGGGCAGAGGCAGTGAGAGAGAACCTGAGGGGCTGGTTCTGGGGTGAGCAGGGAGACCTGGGCCTATTCCTGGAAGGTGGCTTCATGTATTGGTGCATGTTTTGCACACATGTGTGTGAGTGTGTGAAGGTGTAGGGTTCTAGCCACACGGCCATGGGCTCCACTGCCCTGTCTGTGAATGGTTGGTCTTGGCTGATCTGATGTGTTAGTGCTGGACACCTGGGGGCAGGTGTGTGCTACAGCTGGTGGGTGGGTTGTGGAGAGAGGGGGGACTGGTGAGTCTGGAGTGAGTGGGTGGGCCAGGGTACAGGAGCAAGCAAGGAGCCCGGGTGGGGTGGCTATGGCAGAGTCCTGGCTTGGCTCTACCAGCTCCCCTCTCTCCACACTTGCCCCAGCCCTGCCTGCAGTACTGGCCGGAGCCTGGCCGGCAGCAGTATGGCCTCATGGAGGTAGAGTTTGTATCAGGCACCGCGGATGAGGACTTGGTGGCCCGAGTGTTCCGGGTGCAGAACATCTCTCGGGTATGTGATCTGAGGAGCCCAAGGGTGAGAATGGGGTAAGGGCAGCTGGGGCAGCCTTGAATGGCCCTCAGGAGGTCACTCATTAGGGGCCCCTGTGACTCCAATGGTCAAATCCCTTTGGTTGGCTGCCCACGCCCCAGCTGCAGGAGGGGCACCTGCTGGTGCGGCACTTCCAGTTCCTGCGCTGGTCTGCCTACCGGGACACGCCTGACTCCAAGAAGGCCTTCCTGCACCTGCTGGCTGAGGTGGACAAGTGGCAGGCAGAGAGTGGGGACGGACGCACCATCGTCCACTGCCTGTGAGTGCCTGTGTGCAGGGACAGGTGGGGAGGGGTCAAGGAGCAAGGGCAGAGGTCCAATCTAACAGGGCCTCAAGGCTGGCACTGGAACCTCTGGGCTCCCAGATAGTCATGGGCTGTCCCCAGCCAGCCAGGTCTGGCACTTTCTTCCCTGGAGGAACCCAGTTTCCAGGGTGTAGACTTGACCCTGAACAATTGCCCGGTACCCTCTGTAAACATTGGATTTCACCAATTAAGTTTTTTGTCAGAATTTTTCACCTCATGAGATCACAGCATAGTTTTTTATGCCAGTGGAATTCTAGCCTTTGCTTTTGCAGGGCACACAGGCAGTGTCCCCTGCCTCCCCTTCTCTCCCTCCCTCTCTCGATCCCTCCCTCCTAGTGGTGAGGGGCCATGTATCCCATCCATCCCTTCCTTCCTTCCTTCCCATCATGCCCCATTCATAAATCCGTGCAACGTGGCTCCATTCAGTCATTTCTTTGCTTCCTGCTTTTTCAAGTTTCTGGTACTTACCCAGCCCTCCCAGTTCCAGGCCAGGCACACTAGGGGACTGAGTCAGCCTGAGCTGGACCCTCAGGACTTTCAGATCTAGCGGGAGAGAACCCTGGAGAGGGGGCTGAGGCCAATTTGGTCTCCCATCCCCAAGGGACGCCCCACAGGGTGCAGTCTGAGGACAGAGCGTGGCTGGGGGAAGCCGAGGGTCTGGGGAAGCTGCCTCGTGTGTCTGCGCTGCCCAGCGGTGAACAGGCTTCCCATGTCCATTTTCCATTTTGCTCTCCGTGTCTGCTTGCTGCTCCACTGCCCTTCTCTGTCATTGCCCTTGTGTCTCACTGTCATTCCTTTCCAGTGTGTATGGCCTCCTTTCTCAAGGAATCTGCAGTCCGTTCCTCCTCCAGGATGTATTTTCTGAGATGACATAAAGCTTTAGAGGTCATTCCAGACTCTGAGCTGCCTTTTTAACCTGGTCCTGGGGCCACCCTGTGGGCCGTCCCTCTCCCTTCTGTTCCCGCCAGGCCCCGCCCCACCCTTTGCCCCGCCTCTTTGGATCCTTAGCCACGCCCCTCACCTGGCGTCTATGGCCCTTCCCCTCTTATTTCCTTAGATCCCACCTTAACCCCTCCGCCCTTTGGCCCCTCCCGGCCCCTGCCCTTGGCCTTCAGCCTCTCTGACGCTGCCCCATCTTTTGATTGCCTGGCCTTCCCCTTCCCCCTCAGGTGCCCAGGCTCCACCCACCCAGGCTCCCAAAGCCCTGCCCCAAACCTTTTGTGTGTCTCCTTTAGAAACGGAGGAGGCCGCAGCGGCACCTTCTGCGCCTGCGCCACGGTCCTGGAGATGATCCGCTGCCACAGCCTGGTGGATGTTTTCTTTGCTGCCAAAACGCTTCGGAACTATAAACCCAATATGGTGGAGACAATGGTAAGGAGCCGCGTATCCCATGCCCAGCCTCTTCTTTCCTGGTCCGTGCTTGGCCAGTTTCCGCAGCACCCATCCTTCCCTACCTGGTCCCCACCTTTGGGCCTTGGTCTAGTCCTGCGGTGCCAGAATGTTGTCCCGGTTTTCCCCTTCCCCGGTGGTGGGCCAGGGCTCATGCTTGCCCTCTCCCCAGCACAAGGGAGGGTCAGGCTCGTGATCCCTTCTCTCCCTCTCCTCAGGATCAGTACCACTTTTGCTACGATGTGGCCCTGGAGTACCTGGAGGCTCTGGAGTCAAGATAGCGGGGCCTCTGGCCTGGGGCACCCACTGTGCACTCAGGGCCAGGCCCACCGGCAAGGAGGACTTGTCCCCCAACTCTGCTCAGCCATAGTCCCACAGGGAAAGTGCTGGAGTGGACGTTGGGCCATCTCGATGGCCTCTTCCACGGTGTACAGCGCCTCTCACTGTATCTGTGGGCAGGCTATGGGCCAAGGAGGAGCTGAGCAAGACTTCAGCCCAGCCCCACCTCCAGAGGGTCCTGCAGGCCTGGGCTGAAAGGCCTGGCACTGCCGGGCACAGTGACTGGGGCTCAGAACGGCCAGCTCTGGGAGACCCAGGCCAAGTCCCTTGACTGCATACGAGCCCTTGCTAGAGATGAGCGAGGCCTTGCAAAGCGAGTGTCCCAAGCCAGTTTCCACCTGGCGCAGCCCTTCTGCACACAGGAAGACAGGAGGAGGGTGTGCTGGGCTTGCCCCCTAGAATCCCGTCTGGACCAGCCCCTGAGGGCTCGGCCCTGATTTGCCAGTGGGACACACTGACCATCCTCTTCAGGGGAACTACCGTGCCCTCCTTCACCCCACTGCCTCCTGCAGCCCTGGGGTATCTTGCTCACCACCCCTCTCCGCTGCTGCTTCCCGACGTGTGCTCTGAGCTTCCCAGAACCAGGATCTGCCCGTGCCTCCCAGCCCCCCTCCCTGACCCGACATCTTCAGAGTGAGGTCACCTCAGCCCTCTCTTCCCTTAGCCGTCAGGCCTTCATGGCTTGGTCATGCTCAGCTTGGCCAGTGACCGTCTGCGAGGCTGACCCACAGCCCCTGGGGTTGAGGCCCCTTTGGCTCCTGGTCAGGCTGCTCCCCAGGGCAGGGTGTGCTGGAGCCGAGCTGGTCACATCCCCTAGTTCGGAAGAAGAACTAAATGGAGGATCAATGCTTTTTGTTTCTTTCGTTATTTTTTGATGGGTGGGTGGGAAGGTCTCCTAAAAATGGGGCAGGCCACACCCCCATTCCGTGCCTCAGTCTCCCCATCTGTAAACTGTAGATATGACGACTGACCTACCTCGCAGGGGGCTGTGGGGAGGCATAAGGTAATGTTTGTAAAGCGCTTTGTAAATAAACATGCTCTCTGAATGCCACCCGGCAGCCCTGTGTGTATCTGACCAAACTGGCGCCTGCTCGCCTGCCCCCAGCCTCCCAGTGCAGTGGGGCTCAGAGGCCTGGGGTCTAGTCTGTTCTTAGTTTTTCTCTCCACGGTGTGGTGTGGTGTGGTGTGGACCAGGGCGTTGCTCAGGGTTCTTCTACGTGCAGAGGTGGCTCCAGGGCACCCTGGCCACGGTGGCCTCCACCCAGGCCTCGAAACAGTTCCTCAGACAGTGAGCTTCTTCTGGAGACCCCCAAGGCCACAGAGCTGCCTGTCACGCCACTGGAGACCTGTTTCTGGGGTTCAGTTCTTTCTGGGCTTAAGCATGAGAGGCTTAAGCTTTGGCATCAGAGACACAGACCCCACCAGCTGTGAGACCGTAGGTGTAACATGGGGACAGTCCTGTTAGGTTGATAGTGATCGAGGGTCTCATATGGTACTAGACATGCTGGGAGGGCTGTTTACAAACACGTGGCAGAGACAGGGACAGAAGAGGAACATCCCTGCTAGGGTTAGGATCACCCAGCTGCCCCAGCCCAGACTCTGTCTCCCTTACGCGCAGAGTGGAAGGAGGAGGGGGCTGGCCAGAAGGGACCTGAGTCACTCCTGATGCCATCGCATACTTGGGTGACTTGGGGCAAGACAGTTCTTGTTTCTGGGCCTCTTTTTTCATATGAAAACTATGATAAATCTGTTCACCCAGACTTTCTGTGGGTCAAAGGATATGACCCCTTCTAAGGACCTCACAATTAAGTTTCCTTTAATCTGAGTTAAAAGTTTATCTGGCAGTTGTGACCCCACTTGGCTAGGGCACAGACCGACTCCCTTGCCCACATTTTGAACCATCTTTAAGCCTTACCTCATGAGCCTTCAATGTATGTCACCAATGCTGGCCGAGCTTTGACCAATAGAATGTGTCAGAAGTGACAGGGTGTGCATCCTGGATCCCAGGCCTCAAGAGGTGTTGCAGTTTTTGTCTTTGTCCTGGAACACTGCCATGTAAGGAATCCTGTCTAGCCTACTGGATGGTTTGAGGGCACCTAGAAGAGAAGCAGCCCATCCCATGAATAGTCATTATCAACTGCCAGACCGTGAATGAGGCTGTCACAGACCTTCCGGCCCAGCTGATCCCAGCTGATCTGTCAGGTGAGTGTAACCACTTGATTAAGCTCAAAGAAACTGCCTGAACAACCTCTAGATTTGGGAGAGATAATAAACAATTCCTTTCTTAAGCCATTAAGTTTTGGGATCATTTGTTACGTACCAAATACTAACTGATACATACAGTTAATTAGTGTATACAGCTGGATACAGCTTTACTCTTTGCCCCATTAGTGTGAGCTGCTAAAGGGGAGGGAGTATTCTGTGTTCATCTTGCATATCTATTATTCTGTGTTCATCTTGCATATCTATTATTCTGTGTTCATCTTGCTATATCTATTGCCTAGCAAAGAGGTTGTCTTGGAGCTGGTGCTGGGGAAATGTTAGCATTTGGAGTGAAGGAAGAGGGGGTGTGGGCCTGTCTGCCTGCCTGCCTGCCTGACCTCATGTGGCCTTTCAGAGGAGCTGGGGAGTGGGCTGTGTTGCAAGAGGGCCAGCTCCGGAATCAACAAGCCAGAGTCCACCCCCAGTCCCCCACCCCACCAACGGAGCAACCTTGCATAGTCCCCTGAGTGTTGCTCACTAAACGTACCTACTCACAGGATTGGTTGTGAGGTCTAGAGATGAAATACTTAAAAAGAGCAAGCATCGTCTCTGGTGACATAATCGGCCCTCAGTGCAGGATAGCTCATGTCATAATACAGATGGTCCCTGATTCAGGATGGTTTGACGTAGGAGTTCTTGACTTTATGATGGTGCAGAAGTGATTTGCATTCAGTGGAAACCATGCTTTGATTTTTTGGCTGTTGATCTTTTCCTGGGCTATTGATAGGCAGCGTGATGCTCATTCCCAAGGCTGGGCAGCAGCAGGAAGCACAGCTCCTACCAGCACATGGTCAGAGGGGGAAGAACTATTAGTGCGCTCCAGGGTGCCGTTGCCCGGCTGTGATGTTTGGTGGGTTAGGTAGACTGAATGTATTTTTGACTTGGGATATTTTCAGTTTACCTTGGGTTTTTTGGTACAACACCATCGCTAAGCTGAGGAGCATTTGTGCCAATGTCCATGGATATTAAGAATGATGACCATTACCTTTTGGTGAGTTTTACTGTGTTTCAAAACTTAATTCACATGACAACTTTTTTGTTGTTGTTGTTGAACTCAGGGTGTTTGACCACTGAGCCACATCCCCAGCCCTATTTTGTATTTCATTTAGACACAGGGTCTCTGCTTAGTGCCTCTCTTTTGCTGAGGCTGGCTTTGAACTTGTGATCCTCCTGTCTCAGCCACCCAAGCCGCTGGGATTATAAGCATGTTCCACTGTGCCCGGCACACATGACAACTCTTTAAAGTAGGATTTCTGCCTGTTATTTTTAGAGATGAGGAGATGGAGGTTCAGGGAGTGAGTTTACTCGTCCAGGGTCACTTGGCCATTATGTGGCAGAGCTGGGACCTGAACCCATGTTCAGGCTGACTCCAAGCCTGGGTCCTGCCTGGGTGGTGTCCATAGCTGGAGGATCTCTTCCATGGCTAACCTGAGGCCAGGCGTTGGCTTCCAGATGCTGTGAGATGGTGGCCTTTTGGAGCACAGGGAGAGGAATGGCTCAGCAGGCTCTGTCCAGTCCCCTGGGGCCGAGCAGGTGAGGGATAGACGCCCCTACCTCCCACCTTAGCCCAGATAACAGGGTTTCCCTGGGCACAGCAGGCTGCTGCTGTCCTGCAGGAGCTGAGTTTTCTCTTTACGCCATAATAAATACAGCTGCAGGAGCTGCCAAGGCTATTGTCCCTTTGTATGACCTGTGCTGGTCACTGATTGGGACCTGTTATACTTCCAGCTGCCCAGGAGACAGAGCCATGACTTTGAGGGATGCAAAGGCCACTGAAAGCCCTGGTTGAGAGGGGCCTGGCCACTTTTTGTCACTGGGTACTTCGCCACTGACCTTGATGGACAGGAGCTTAATGAGCTTTGGCCCCGACACCCCATGCCTGAGGGCAGTGCAGAAATCATAGTGTTTCCTGGGCAGACTCAACAGGCCCAGGCCAGGCGGCGTCTCATGGGTGAGGTGGAACGAGGGCTTTGGATTTGGTGAACTGCAGAAGCAGCGCTTTATTTGGCACTTACAGTGTACTGCCGATCGCTTTGTGAGTTTGTCACCTGTCAGCCCCCAGTGAATTCTGGGAAGAAGATACTGTTATGACCCGTGTTGCAGTAGAGCAGGCTGAGGGAGTGTAAGCAGCTGCCCAAGGTCAGAGAGCCACAGGGCATCCCAGGAACAGTGGTGGCCAGAGCGAGCTGTGAAAACAGGAGGCCAGAGCCTGCCAGAGGACCCTCCCATGGACTCCAGCTGCTTGGGCCTAGGACTAAGTTCCAGGACCCCTGGGTCTGACCTGGCCTCTGCCCCTCTTGTGGGCTTCTTTGCTCTTGAGGTCTCATCTCTGGTGCTTGTGACTCTGATCACCGCCTGGACACCCTTTGCCAGTATCCACATGGCTGGCTCCTTCCTGGGGTCCAGGTCACGGTGTCCATGTTCCCTCCTGAGATTTCCACCCTGAATGCCCTGGATGGCCCTTCAGCCTCCTCATTCCTGTCACTCAGGGCCTTCCTCGTGTCTGTGCCTCGCTGCTTTCTCACAGGGGAATTAGCTTTTAGTTTATTGCCTCCCCCATGAGACTGGGAGCAGCCAGTGTGCTGGGGCCATGTGGATCTTGTCCCAGTGTCTCCTGCACGGGACACAGGATCAGGCACATGCCAGGCACCCAGTGAGTGTTTGATGAATGAATACAAAT